ATAGGAATGCCACGACGGTCTGATTCAGGCCAATAGTGTGGATACCCTGAGATCCTGGTGTCTCAACTTTTCGAGCCGAGCGTTTCGCCTTTTGTCGGGCCCTGGGACCCTCTGAGGTCGATCCAGCTCGAAACATGGCGCAGAAACATGGATGATTTTCGCTACGTCGCAACTCCGGGTAGGGGGCTTCTTAGTGAACGTTAAGGAGGGTTTTTCCTGGCCTGAATTTGCCGAAGGGGCTCAGGGGGCTTGACGAATCGGGCCAAGTAGGCTCCGCCCACTTAGCGGAGTTATGTCCAACCCCCATGAGCTACTAGGTGCACTTGCAACGAATTTATAAGCCAAGAAAAGGGCTGGTGTTACCCACCTCGGCATCGACAGAGAACCTCTGATGCCCCCTTTTCGCAACCCCCGCCCTCATCCAAGTAGGCGGGACTTCGAAAGCTCGAACGTCATTATTAAAGCTCCCCTCGGCCCTTTGGCTGCGCCGCCTATCCCCCACAACGGAGGGCTGGCGGCGCCCAGTTCAGCAGATTAACCTTCGTGTGATGCTCCGATCGGTCGCAGGGATATCGCCGAGGTTTCAAAAGCGAGCGCCCGCCGTTCCTCCCGGGTCGGGCGCACACGTTCTAAACATAATACACCCATCGTAGATTCGTTTGCCGGAGACGATCGCCATGGCGACAGGAAGGTCCTCAAGCCCGAGGTTGAATATGGCGTCAGTTGTTTGGACGATGTACATGACGAATTACATGAACAACAAGATCATCATAAGCCAATGCCTACGAACATAAATATTCCCAATCTGGACATCGTTAGGGAAACTGCTGGTTTTCGGCCGGAATGCTCGCCACGAGGTCTCGTGAGTGTGTCACAAGCTTTTGGGGGCGTTGGGACCAGACAAGTACGGGATGAAGACGGACACGGATAATTACAACACGGATGAATCATAGTCATAACATGAATAGTAGTACGAATAAGAAGATGAGTAATAATAATACTAATGCTTGTAGCAGTAATAATAATGATATCTGCCGTATGTCGCCAAGGCGCACAACATGTAGGACAAAAACGACGTTTGCGGCTGCGTCCAGTAATTGTGTGTGTGTGTCATCGGCGCCGTCGCGGGTCTTCCGCGCAATCTCAGCAGGGCGAGTTCAGTTCGGCGCCGAGGCTCGCCGTTGAGCCGGAGCGCAGGCCGCCTGGATAACCCCCGCGGGCGGACGGGCCCTCGGACGAGGCCGCAGCAGAGTGGTATGGGGCGGCCGGGGCCCTCCGAGGTCCCCGCGGCTGGCGCCGGTCAACCAGGCCTACGCGATCATCTCTGGCTCGTCCGTCTCGGATGCCGCGATGCCCGTCACCTTCCGTTTCTCTGGGTCGGGGGTGGACAGAGCCCCCAACAGTGACGCGTCGATTGATGAATTGTCCGTTTTCGGTTCTCGAGAGGGCGCCGCGGCCGTCATTTCCCAGGCTTGCGCCCGCCAGGTTTGGGCCTCAGGTCGTCTTCACTAAACCACGTTTTACTAAAGGGAGGTCTGTCCATCCCCCATTGGGGCACAACCAAGCATGTATACACCAGGGTCCCGTATACACCAGGCTCCTGTTCCCTGTGCGAAGTGCAGTGCGGGGCCGGAAAGAGCGTCGTCGCAATTCCCGGAAAGTTGGACCAACTCGCAGCCGCTCCAGCGCGAGTCGAAGCACGGCAGAAGTCGTTGATCCTTTTCACCCAAAGATCCGATGACGTGATTTTTTCAATACGGGGTCCCTTGAAGTCACGACCCATTCCCCGGGCCGGCTTCTCATCCGGAGCCGTTTTTTTGACGGTCCCGGGGCCCGTCGAGGGCCGCCAGAGGCAGCGAGTTGCGAAAAACCTCCGTCTATAGTTTTTTTCAACGCGTTGAACCTCTGGGCACGTGCAGTAGGATTTTCGACGAAAAAGGAGGAGGAGGAGGAGGGAGAGAAGGAGGAGCAGGAGGAGGAGGAGGAGGAGGAAGTTGAGCGAGGAGCGAGGAGCGAGGAGCGAGGAGCGAGGAGCGAGGAGCGAGGAGGACTTTTGCAACTCGCTGCGGCCTCCGGCTCCCCGGTCCTTCCTCGCCCCGCCTGCGCCATAGGACGGGCGGCGCCAGCGAGACCTCGCGGGCCCTCACGCCGGGCGTGACCCCCACGCCTAGCCCGGAGGAGGGCGCCAGCGGAGGCGGCCTGGGGCGCCCCGCCCCGCCCGGGAGGCCCAGAGCCGGCGCCCTCGCGGAGCCCTCCTCGGGCCCTCGAGGGTGCTCCTCCCCTTCTCGAGCCTCCTCCAGCATCCTCTTCCCATCCTCCTTCTCCATCCTCCTCCTCCTCCCTCCCTCCTCCTCCTCCTCCTCCTCCTCCTCCTCCTCTCCTCCTCCTCCTCCTCCTCCCCTCCTCCTCTCTCCTCCTCCTCCCTCCTCCTCCTCCTCCTCCTCTCCCTCCTCCTCCTCCTCCATCCTCCGCCTCCTCCTCCTCCATCCTCCTCCTCCTCCTCCTGCTCCTCTTCGATGTTCCTCCTCGTCTTCTCCTCTTCGATCTCTGTTTTCTCGATCCTCCTCCTCCTCCTCCTCCTCCTCGTCTTCTCCTCTTCCTCCTCCTCCTCCTCCTCGTCTTCTCCTCTTCCTCCTCCTCCTGCTCTGGCGTGGTACTTTCCGTGTGACGCTCCCTTGCCGTCGTGCCCCCCGCCCGCGTGCTCTACCGTGCTGCTGACGTGTGTCTGCTTCCCGGCATACCATGGCCCCTTCAGGGGATCGAAACCAGAATTGATCTACCCCGAATTTGATTTCGCCGCCTAGGCCTAGGCCTCCTAGATGGGGTCGGAGTTTTGATGGGGTCGGAGGATCGCGCCGCATCGCCGATGCATCGGCGACGATGGGGCTCGATGTTAAGCTAGATGTTCTCCACGCAGACGTCGCCGATACATCGCCAATGTCGCCGATGCATCGCCGATGCGTCGGCGATGCACTGCCGATATATCGGTGATGCGGCGCGTTCTTACGACCTCCCATCTAGGGGTCTCGGGGGCCTCTACAGCCCTCGAGAGTAGGTTATCGACAACATAGTTGATGTATCAAAAAATAAGTTCCCGCCGAATGCTCGAACACATGCGTCAAATGTCAAGTAAATCTACGAATGTTCTACGCATTTCTTGTATGTATATGCCGCGGGGAAAGCTCTGTTGGAGTAAATCAATTCTGTATGTGATCCCCGATTCGAAGCCCAAGGACCTGGGCGTTGCAATGTTTTCAACACTGGACGTTCTCGATCGAGTCTCCTCGACCCTCGATCCACCTCCACTCTCAATTCTCATCGATCTTCGGTCCTCCTCTGTCCTCGATCCGCCTCTCGACCGCCCCTCGCATCCTGCCGGTGCAGTTTTTCGGTGGGCGCGTCTGTCGCCCAGATTCGGGCCTCGGGACCGTCACGGAGCGATCCTGCCCGAGAAGTGCCTCGGGAAGATGGGGGCGCGGGCTCCGGCCGCGATGCCTCGCCATGCCGCACCTCTGTTCGCAACGCCGGAGCTCAGGGAGGGTAAACGCCGGAGCTCAGGGAGGGTACATCCCGACAGGAGGAGGAGGAGGAGGAGGAGGAGGAGGAGGAGGAGGAGAAGGAGGGCAGGACAGGACAGGACAGGACAGGACAGGACATCCGCAAAAGGGGATCAACGTCAACACCTACGATGGTGCCGTGCGCCTGACTAGCATTAAGTCGGGCCTGCCCGGAGGAATATTCAAAAATTGTTAAAACATAGTTTAGTTTGGGTACGATTTCTTGATTATTTATATTCATTTGGAGGGCATTTTGTGAGTATTGTTTCGCCCAAAATCCCCCTGTAGGGGGACACGCCCGACTTGAGACTGGCAGAATCCCCTGCGATTAGGTTGTGCAGCAGCCCAGGCTTCTCATCAGGGTCGGCAAGGGGCCTGCCCCGGAGCTTCCATGGGCGAGCTCCGAGGTGGCCCCGTGAGAGAGAGGTTCGCTGCCGCGGCGACGAGGAGCCTCTCCAAGAGGCTCAGAGAGGACGAACAAGCCAGGGGCGGCCGCCGTTCTCCTCCTCCTCCTCCTCCTCCTCCTCCTCGTACTCCTCATCCTCCTCCTCCTCGTCCTCCTCATCATCCTCCTCCTCCTCCTCCTCCTCCTCCTCCCCTCCCCCTCTCCTCCTCTCCTCCTCCCTCTCCCTCCTCTCCTCCTCCTCCTCCTCCTCCTCCTCCTCCTCCTCCTCCTCCTCCTCCTCCTCTTCCTCCTCCTCCCCCTCCCCCTCCGCCTCCCCGACGTGGGGATTTTGTTCCCAGCGTTTGCCCCAGGGAGCCTGCAGCCCTTTCCCCAGGATCCGGCGCTCCAGGAAAACTAGGGCCGGCTATTTGGGTTGTTTTCGGCCTCGGGGGGCCCTCGCCAGGCCCTGCGACTGTCAAGGAACGATGCAGGGCGACAAGCCGACCCTAGAGGGAAGTGGTCCAGATTTCCATGGGGCCCACGCATGGAAAGCATTGGATCAGCCGGAGTTTGGGTCCGAGGACCCGCTTGTCATCCCGAGCAGTTCTGTTGGCAGTCCTGGGCCTGGTGAGGACTCTTGGAGGTGGAATAGTAACAATAACCACCTGCCCTGTTTTTTGCTCACTACCTTGGCATCGCTCGGACGTGTGCATTTTGCCTCGGCGAGGACCATCGTGGAGCATCTTGGGGCCATCACGTGGAACAATACACGCACGAAACCGGGACATGCACAAGGAATGCACGTTCGAGCGGTGGCGAGCTAATTACGAGGGGAGGTCGCTTTCCGCTTACATCTCGAGTCTCCAGTGGCCGTTTGGGACGATAGGGGCAAGCCCGGAACGGTTTTGGCGAGGCGCAGTTGCTGGAACGCACTCCGAGGATGGGAAGGGCATGGAGAAGCGACGAATAAGATCGAAACGTTCGAACCTCGCACCTCGGGCCGCGGTTTCCAGACCCCCGACGTCATTATTTGTTTCACAGCGTCGACTTGTGATCGTTTTCTTTTTCATTGTTTTGCCGATCGGCGCGGGCCCTCGCACCCCCCCTCACCACCTCCGTATTGAGTAGATCTTGGCTGTTTTTGGCGCCTGTCTCGAGCAGGTGGAGTCTCCCCCACAGGACGCACTGCTGCAAGCAGTCGCATTAAGCAGAGGTTCAGAGCCAGACCCCCCCCCCTCTCCCACCCCTTCCGCCCAATGTCGAAACGCCGAATAAGAAAACATTCACGTTTCCCTCGTCGAATGTACCACGAATTTGTATACTGTTCGTAGAGGTACGAGCATTCTAACTCTGATCGTCCCTCGTGAACTCGACGAAGAAACAACATTCCAGGGCAAAGCACTGTTGTAGTCGATACCGATAGGACCACCCTACGGGTGATAAGGAGGTTGGGGGGGAAGGCGGAGACGGTCGATTTGCGATGGCTCTGGGTTCTTTGGTAGTTTCTTCGACATGTTTATTGTCGCGCACATCTGCCCATCTATCCATCGACCTATATATTTGATTATCTATGTGGGGCAACCTTATCACTCTATATACATATATACATATATAGGTGTCGATCGTTCTACCTGCCAGTCTACCAGTCAACCAACCCATCAATCAAGTAACCAATACATATTTATATGTCTCTATAATATTCCATTTCTATATGAATATGTATTTGTATATCTCCATGTACATATACATCTATAGATACATCGATCAAACATCGGGACGATAATCGGGACAACATATAACAACATCTACCTATCGATCGATCTATATACATCAATCATTGGGACAATCATCGGGACGACCATCGGGACAATCATCTGGACAACCATCGGGGCAACCATCGGAGACCCATCGGAGCAACCATCGGGACAACCATCGGGACAACCACAACCATCGGGACAACCGCCGGGACAACCGCCGGGACAACTGGGGGCCACGCCCGGCGCTCGGGGGGGGGCCCTTTGGGAAGTGTATGGCCTCTATAGGGCTGTAGCTCGCGCAGCTTCGCCTCGCCCGCACTCACGATACGAAAACCGAAACCGACACCGATTTTTCCCGGTTGGGGCCACTTCCGACTTTGTTCCGCCGCCTCAGGGCTCTTTTCGACTCCTCCGGTTCGCTCCGGTTCGACCCGGTTCGGTGTCGATGGATTCCGATCCCGATGCGCTTCGACTTCGGCTTCCGACCTGGGCTCCGATGCCTCCATGGAGGCCTACTATAAGCTGCCGAGGTCCACCGAGGCGACTCTTCCCGACTCGGCTGCCGATTTCCGCCGATCCGATTCACCCTCCTCCTCCTCCTCCTCCTCCTCCCTCCTCCTCCTCCTCCTCCCATTCCTCTTCCTCCTCCCATTCCTCCTCCTCCTCCCATTCCTCCTCATCCTCCTCCTCCTCGTGCTCGCCGCGGCGCCTCGTCGCCCCGCCTCGCCCGGGGGCGCCCTCCGCCTCCCTTCCGGCCCTCCTCCGCCCGGCGCCGAGAGCGAGCGGGCCCGCGCGGCCAGCGCGGACGCCGACGAGCGGGCCGCGCAGGGCCCGGCGCAGGCGCCGCCGGCCGGGCGCCGGCGCGGCCCCGGCGGCGTGGGCGCGGGCGCGGTGAGCCTGAGGCTGCCGAGGAGCCCCGGCGGCCTGCCCTTCGGCTGGCCTCGGCCCTCCTCCTCGAGGCTCCAGAGGGCCTCGGTGTGCGAGCCTCGGTCCTCCTCGAGGCTCCTCGCGCCTCGGTGCTCCTTCTCTGGAGGCCCCTGGCCTCGATGCTCCTCCTCCTCCTCCTCCTCCTCCTCCTCCTCCTCCTCCTCCTCCTCCTTGTCTCGAGTCCTCCCCGGTCCGCGGGGCACCTCCCTCCCCGGGTGCTCCTCGGTCGTCGCTGCTCCTCCAGCCTCGATCCGCCTCTCGAGCTCCCTTCAGATCCCGCCGTTGCAGTTTTTCACAGTGGGCGCTTTTTCCGCCCAGTTTCGATCCCCAGGACCCTCACATATCGATGCGGCTCGAAAAATGGTGCATGAAGATGGGGTCCAGAGTTCTGGTCTTGATTGTTCACGAAGTTGCATTTTATTCTGTAACGTCGGATCTCAGGAGGTGAGATAGTCGGCGTTGTCTAGGCAATAGCGAGGGTCTATCTTAGGTATATAGGGGACATACTCAGGATTAACACAATGCCCCCTGGAAGGGGTCCAGGCTTTAGGGGTCCACGTTATGAACAAAGCATGGCGTCGGGGCTTTGGGTCTCAAGCATCACATTATTTTCCTGTTCCCTCTGTTCCAGGGGGCGCGCGGAAACCCATTATACTTCCATTGGTTTCTTACTTCATGTCTGTCTCTGTTTCTCTCTCTCTGTTTTTTTGTTTGTTTGTTCTCTCTCTCCCTCTCTCCCTCTCTCTCTCTATATATATGTATGTATAGGTGCACACACTTATTAAGAAAGATGGGGTCACTCGACCTCCACCTTCCGCCCCTTCCGCACCTCAACCTCAGCCCTTCGAGGCTGCCAGGGACCGCGGTGGCCCACCCTCCCCGGTTTCCCTCGCGTGACGAGAGGCGTTTCGGCATCTCTCATTCATTTCTGGGGGCTTGTGCTGCGCCTCGGTGCCACGAGAAACGACCCAGCAAGAACATGTCCTCAGAGCCCCCCTCCCTAGCGTCTTTCGAACGCAGAGGCCTCGGGGCCCCCTCCCGCTGCCGCCTCGGAGGCCCCCCAGGCGCCCTCCTCGAAGGCCGCACCCCCTGCCGCCCCCCCCCCTGTGCGAGGGAGCCCCACCGAAGGTCCCAGTGGCGCAGTCCGCATGCTGTTCCCCACACCCAGTACAGCGTTTCGGGCCCCCATAGGGAGCTCCACCGACGGCTCCCGTGGCGCAGTCCGCATGCCATTCCCCCACTTAGTACAGCGTTTCGTGGCCCCAGAGGGAGCTCCACCGAAGGCCTCAGTGGCGCAGTCCGCACGCGGTTCCCCCGCCAAGTGCAGCGCTTCGTGACCTCATAGGGAGCTCCACCGAAGGTCCCAGAGGCGCAGTCCGCATGCGAGTCCCCCGTGGCGCAGACCGCATGCGAGTCCCCCGCCCAGCACAGCGTTTTGCTGCCCCAAACCAGCGCGTGCGAAACACGACGACCATCCGCGCGCGATGATATGCTGAGAACATGCACGGGAGCGCGACGCCCGAATGCTTTCACGAGAAGTCCGCAGGCCAAGATTGCCCGTGGAGTCACCGAAGCCGCGCGAGGGGGGACACTGCACGGGCCGGAGATCTGGCTCGGCGGCTCCATTCTGTGCCGTCGTTTCTAACGCACCCCCGGACCCTTTGCTGCTTGGCGCCGCGCAACTGGCAGTGCAGCCTGAACGGGGTCATCACCTTGCAAAGTGCGGGCGACGCAGCGAGTTGGTTTTGCAGGTTGACTCCGCCACTCGCCCCAGCCAACACGAGAGCGCCCCTTGTCGCGGCTGTCGCGGCAGAGTCGTAGAAACCGGGTAGGAACCCGTAGAAACCGTGTACAAATTGCGTACGCTTACGTAGAAACCAGCCCAGCCCATTAGCATCAATGTATAATTTAATATGTGTGTAAGGTGTGCAGCGGCGTATCTGTAAAACAAAGCGGTGTGTACAGGTTTCTAGATGGTTCTACAACGAAGCAGCAGCGGCGGCGTTGGGCGTTGGGCAGCGGCGGCGTCGGGCGTAACGGCCGGCCAGCAATTTTCCGATTCACGGTTAAATTTCGAACGGGGGCGGTCCGACGACGACGACCGAGGGCCGCCTAGGACGTTGGCGAGACGTCGACGCCAATGGACGTCCCGCGCCGCGTCGCGTCGAAACATGTCCGGCCCCCGCGTAAACGGAAATGTCACATATACAGTTGGCCGATACATTGCGTCACCGAACCGCGGCGCGTGGGAATACGACCACTCGCGCGTGATAAAATGTTGAGAACGTGCACAAGAGCGCGACGCCCGAATGCTTTCCCGAGCCGCCACCCCCCCCACCCCCCACCCCCTGATGCAAATCTGAGGAGACCGACAAGAGACGACGGCAACGCACTTCATCGGTGACGTCGTCGCGTCGCTTCGTTGCTCAGGTTTGCATCGTTGGGGAGAGGGGGGCGCGCGGGCTGCGCGTTCGCCCTGGAGCGGCGATAGATTCGGCTACCGCCGCTCGGGCGCGCCGTGGCACTTCCTCTTCGATCGCCCCCCGAGAGGCGCAATCTGGGGCAGCGCGGTCAGAAACTGCAGTACCCGGCAAGGGCCAAGATTGTCCGCGGTGTCACCAAAGCCTTGCGAGTGGGGAAAATGCAGGGGGCGGAGATCTGGCTCGGCGGCTCGATTCTTCGCGGTCGTTTCTAACGTGCGCCCTGGTGGGGAGCTGTACCGAAGGTCCCAGTGGCGCAGTCAGCATGCGGTCCCCCCGCCGAGCACAGCGCTTCGTGCCGCAGAGGGAGCTCCACCGACGGCTCCCGTGGCGCAGTCCGCATGCGTTTTCCCCACCTGGCACACCGATTCGTGGCCCCAGAGGGAGCTCCACCGACGGTCCCAGTGGCGCAGTCCGCATGAGGTTCCCCCAAACAGTACAGCGCTCCGTGGCCCCATCGGGGGCTCCACCGAACGCCCCATCGGCACAGTCCGCATGCGAGTCCCCCACCCAGTACAGCGTTTCGCGGCCCCACAAGGAGCTCCACCGAAAGTCCACCTGGCGCAGTCCGCATGTGGTTGTCCCGCCCACCACAGCGCTTCGTGGCCACAAAGGGAGCTCCACCGAAGGTCCCAGTGGCACAGTCCGCGTGCGCCCCCCCTGCCCAGTGCAGCGCTTCGTGGCCCATAGGGAGCTCCACTGAAGGCCCCAGTGACGCAGTCCGCATGCGGTCCCATTGCCCAAGGCACTTTCTGGCCCCATAGGGAGTTCCACCGCAGGTCTCACTTGTGGAACTCGCATGCGTTTCCTGTGCCCAGTGCAGTGCTTCGTGGCCCCAGAGGGAGCTCCACGGAAGACGATACCCACACCTGCGGTACTCACAGCTGCAGGGGGCGGGCGGAAGCCCAACTCACTTCCACCGCCTTCCCACTTAATGTTATACCCATCCTTCCGAAGGATGGCTACGACCCTTTGAAAACCCAAACATCCGCCGATGTGATTTTTCCAATGCGATGCCCAGGGCAGTTGTTGATGGTCCCGGGGCCTGGCGACAGCACCCGGGCGCCGAAATTGAGATCACGCGTCCAGTCTCAACAAGACAGTTCGTCAGAGATCCGGGAATTCTGGGATCGGCGCGGGGGTTGCGGAGGGGGCGGGGATGATCAGCGAATGCCAAGGTGGGTTCTAGTTTGCCTCACTTGGGTTGTAAGAGGGCTACATTTGCCCGAAGTAACTTAGGGGGGGGTCGATCACTCCGCTAAGCGGAGCCCATTCAACCTGGCTCGCGAACCCCCCAAGCAGTTTGAGGCACTTGTAGCCCATTCAAAAGCCAGGTTGGAGAAGACATAGCCCACCACTGCATCCACTGACAACCCCCTCTCCCCAGAGCAACCTCCGCGCCGATCCCAGCAGAGGAAGTCGCGGTCCAGGTCGATGAGGGGGAGCGGGAGCGCCGACGACAGGGACATCCCCGTGTCGCAGACTTGGTCCTGGGCGCGCCTATCCGCGCTGACCGCCGTCAGCTGGTCCAAGACCGACGGCCCCCTGGACAGCGCCAGATCCGGTTCCCGAGGGTCTCCAGATCTAGGCCTCCTAGGCCTCCCAGGTGTTTGGAGTCCCGAAACGGTGCGGTGACAAACCGTGCGGTGACCTCGAAATCACCCAAGACCTCACCGCACGGTCCGTCACAACGCACGGTTTTGGGACCTCGGATGCCTCAGTCGCCCGAGACGTCCTCGAAGAACGACCCGCGTCCCAAAACCGTGCGGTGACCCCGAGCCCCCATCGACTCAACGCACGGTGTGGTCACCACCCCGTTTGGGGGCGCCAAAAGGTGGGGTCCGAGTGGATGGGGTCGAAGAGTCGCCCCGCATCGCCGATGCATCGGCGATGCGGCTCGATGGAAGGCCCGATCTTCTCCACGTCGACGTCGCCGATGCATCGCGGACGTCGACGATGTATCGCCGATGCGTCGCCGTTGCGGCGCGACCCTCCGACCCATCTTTTCGGAGCCCATTTCGGAAGCCTCTCACAAAGCGGTATCCCCAGATCTCCTACGAGATGAGTTGTTCAGTCCCGGCAAGTCCCCTGACTGTCAGAGGAAAAAGGTACCGATACCGCTATACGTACGTGCCCCTCGTTTCCGTTAGCCGTTCTGGGCCTCTTGGGAGGCCCTCATCCCCACGGCTGGATTCGCTTCGGAGTTCTATTCAGAACGCAACCCGCGAGAGGTCTGGGTCGTAGGTGCAGCGACATCCATAGATCTCCAGCGAGATGATTTGTTTTTGTTTGTTCCCAACCATCCTATGTGCTGGGTCCTCGTTTTGAAGAGAGCGCCCCGCGTTCTTTCCTCCTCTCCTCTTCTGTCCCCCTCCTCCCTCCTTCCATCCCTTGCACCCCGCACACGTTCCGTGGCCCCATGGGGAGCTCCACCGAAGGCCCCAGTGGCAGCGCCCGCGTGCGGTTCCATCCCCATTTCGGCACACCCCTCACACGTTTCGTGGCCCCATAGGAAGCTCCACCGAGGGTTCCAGTGGCAGGGATCGCATGCGGTTCCATCTCCAGTTTCGGCACGCCCTTCACACGCTTCGTGCCCCCATGGGGAGCTCCATCGAAGGCTACAGTGGCAGGGTTCGCATGCGGTTTCACCCCTGCTCCGGCACACGCGTCACACGCCTCGAGGCCCCATAGGGAGCTGGAGCTCCGCCGACGGCCCCAGTGGCAGGGTTCGCATGCGGTTCCACCCCAATTCCGGCACACCCCTCACGCGTTTCGTGGCCCTGCGGGGAGCTCCACCGAAGGTCCCAGTTGTAGAGTGCGCGTGCGATTTCGCCCCTGATATCGGCATGTCTTGCACACGCTTCGTGGCCCGAGCGGCAGGGTTTGCATGCGGTTCCATCCTCAATTTCGGCACCCGTCACACGTTTCGTGGCCCTACAGGGAGCTCCACCGATGGCCGCAGTGGCAGGCTCGCATGCGGTTCCACCATGTCGGCACACCCCTCACACGTTCCGTGGCCCTACAGGGAGCTTCACCGAGGGCCCCAGTGGCAGGTTCCGCATGTTGTTCCACAGACATTTCGGCACACCCCTCACACGTTTCGTGGCCCCGTCAGGAGCTCCACCGAAGGCCCCAGCGGCACAGTCCGAATGGCGTACCCGCGCGGGAGTCGGCGTACCCCTCAAACGCTTCGTGGCCCCATAGGGATCTCCACCGAAGACGAGATTCACAACTGCACATGGTTGGGTATTTCGCAAAGCTAATTACTCGATTGCGGCCTCTATTCGAGGGACAAAAAACGGCATGACCCTAAATGCTCGAGCCCCACGCGGATTTCTTGGATCTGCGCTGGACACCCTCTGGCGGTGCCTCAGAGCCTCAGGGGCCGCCCCAGGTGTGCTCCGCTCGCCAGGGAGGGGGGTTCAGCGCAGATCCGAGAAATCCTCGCGGAGCTTCGGAAGCTTGAATTACGGACACCATTTGTTTGCTGCATTTGTCGTGCCCGATCCAATTGTGATGGTCCTGGGACCCTGAATCGGGCGACAACGCCCGGTGTGAAGAAAATGCAACACTTGAATCTCAGGACTTGGGAAAGGGGTCGGGACCCCTTGAGGTGGCGAACTGAGCAAAAAGACACATCGCCCAGCGACGGCCCAGAGCCCACGGCATCGACCGCGAGCAGCCTCCTCGCTTCTGGGACCAGGGGCCGTCGAGACACGACCAGGGGGTGAAACGCTGGACAGCGCCAGGGTTTCCTGGAGCCCAGACCCCCTCGCGTCGTGAGCCAGGAGGAGGAGGAGGAGGAGGAGGAGGAGGGAGGAGGAGGAGGAGAGGAGGAGGAGAAGGAGGGAGAGACGAGAGGAGGGAGGAAGAGGGGGAGGAGGAGAGGAGGAGGAGGAGGAGGAGGAGGAGGGAGGAGGAGGAGGAGGAGGATGAGAGGGAGGAGGAGGAGGAGGGAGGAGGTGAGGAGGAGGAGGAGGAGGATGAGGAGGAGGAGTAGGAGGAGGAGGAAGAGGGGGAGGAGGGGAGGAGGAGGAGAGGAGAGGAGGAGGAGGAGGAGGAGGAGGGAGGAGGAGGAGGAGGAGGAGGAGGAGGGGAGAGGAGGGAGGAGGGAGGAGAGGAGGAGGAGGAGGAGGAGGAGGAGGAGGAGGAGGGGGGGAGGAGGGAGGAGGAGGAGGGAGGGAGGAGGAGGAGGGGAGGAGGAGGAGGATGAGAGGAGGCGGAGGAGGAGAGGGGAGGAGGAGAGGAGGAGGAGGAGGAGGAGGAGGAGGAGGAGGAGGAGGAGGAGGAGAGGAGGAGGAGGAGGAGGGAGGAGGAGGAGGTATTGAGGAGGAGGAGGAGGAGGAGGAGGAGGAGGAGGAGGAGGAGGAGGGAGGAGGAGGAGGAGGAGGAGGAGGAGGAAGCAGCAGCAGCAGGCAGCAGGCAGGCAGGAGGCGGAGGAGGAGGAGGAGGAGGGGAGGAGGAGGAGGGGGAGGAGGGGAGGAGGAGGAGGAGGAGGAGGAGGAGGAGGATGAGGAGGAGGGTAGGAGGACGAGGAAAGGAGGAGGAGGAGGAAGAGGAGGAGGAGGAGGAGGAGAGGGCGAGAAGGAGGAGGAGGCGGAGGATGAGGAGGAAGAGGAGGAGGAGGAGGCGGAGGAGAAGGAGGTGGGGAGGAGGAGGTGGAGCTCCCCCTAATGTCACGATAGGCAGTGATGGCTCGGTGGGTGAGCACTCTAGGGACGCCCGCCTGAGAAGGGTTGGAAGATCGTTCGCCGTCTGCGTCAATAATCAAGTCAGGGTGTCCCTCAGAGGTAGTGTAGCAGGCCCTCGCCAGACGGTCCCAAGGGCAGAGCTAATAGCAGTAGTTAGAGCTCTCCAAAAGACCATAGGAGACGCCACAGTAGTAATAGATGCCAACTATGTCATCAAGGGCATTCGAAAAAGGGCCGCCACGAAAGGTACACTTCGAATGCTGAACTCTGGGCCGAATTCTGGGAGGCTACGGACAGCCACCAGGGAGCTTGCATGTATAAGAATGTCAAGAGCCATCTCGCGGAGAGCGAGATAGGCAACAGCATCGCAGGCGATCGTTGGTTTGCGAATGACGCCGCTGACAGATTAGCAGAACAAGCAGCCACCGAGGCTGCACCACCCTACAGTTCAGTTTTCAGGGTGAGAGAAGCCGACCAACTGGCCCGGCTGGTCCAAAGACAACTAGTGTCCGTGGGCCTTGAAGTGGCCAAGGAAGCGAAGGACCTCTACGGGACCAGTTTAAAAAGGCGATTTAGCGGCCCGTTCGAAGCAAAAGTCCCAGGAGATAAAGGCTGTCTGAATAGCGGCGATGAGAGATACCTCCCATCGGCTAGAGCACTTCGAGAAAGGTTTCAGATGTAAAGTATGCCTCCGCAGCTCGAGCAAGACAGACGACATTCATTTCTGTGGAGATCCTTGTCCTGGGCGCCCTTCTCAGATTCACCCCACGCACCGAGTGGAGCAGGCGCGAGGACCTTGGTTATGTAGGGCATGTGCGGCCCAGGGAGTCGCGCGTTTCATTAAGTGATCGTCCTCTTGTGCGCCTGGTCCCAGCAGGGATGGCAAGAGCACGCTCAAGAGGATAAAGGAGGGGCGGCTGCCAAAAAGACTGAAGCATCAGACTCCGTTCCAGGGGCTTGAAGGGTCCGCGGTCGTCCCGCGATAGCCTGGCCGACGACTGTCCGCTGGGTTCGTCGGCCCAGTCTGCCTCGGGGAGGCTTGCGGACTCTCCAAGCCCAGGAAGAATCGAGGCTCGAGATTCGAGGGCCGAAGTCTTGAAAGTCTGTGGCCCTCTTCGAGCCCCTGGGTCCCTTCTCGTCGCCTCAGCTGGGCTCCCTTCGACAAATCCTGGTCAGATCGCGCCCCTGAAAATGTCCTGGGTTCGATGAATCAAGGGCATTTAAAAAACGCCCCTATCCTGGTTGACGAGGCGCTGTGCGCTGAAACTCCTATGGGCTGACAGGGAAAACCCTGCGTAATGTGCGGCGTCCTGGCGGCTCTCTAGGATTTGGGTGTTCCCGGGACGCTTACAGACCACGCGCTTGTAAGCCAGGGTAGGGCCGGTTTTTGTCATCCCTCAAAATACTGTCCTCGTGAAGTGAAGGAGTCCTGGAGGAAAGGAGGGTGTCGAGGGTCACAGCTGAGAGAGGAGGTCCTGGGCAAAAGCGGACAACGACAGACAGCGCAAACATCAGCACAGTGGTGCCGTTTTTAATACATGCTCCGCGTGCGGATCGTGTATTCAAAATGCAGGGAGTTAGTCTTAAACACAGCGATGAGTTCATGCATACATCTATTCATACATTAGTCACGTATTAAAATCCCATGTGTTTAACATCCCATGCGTTAGAAACTGCCCTGCAGTCGGGAGTCCGCTCGGATTCCCTGGGCCGGCGCCAGACCCCCCCCCTCGCGCGCCAGAGGCCGGGGAGATTCAGCCTCGGCCCCAGGAGGCCGCGCGGACCGCTGACCGGCCACGGCCCGGCCTCCTCCTCCTCTTCCTCCTCCTCCTTCCGCCTCCTCCTCCCTCCTCCTTCTCCTCCCTCCTTCTCCTCCTCCTCCTCCTCCTCCTCCTCCTCCTCCTCCTCCTCCTCCTCCCTCCTCCTCCTCCTCCTCCTCCTCCTCCTCATCCTCCTCCTCCTCCTCCTCCTCCTCCTCCCTCCTCCTCCTGCTCTTCCTCCTCTCCTTCTCCTCCTCCTCCTCCTCCTCCTCGAGGTCGGTTTGTGGAGGGCACCCTACCGTTCTTCCTCCTCGGCCGATGCTCTCGCGCATCCTGGGGGCGGGCACCCTCGAGTGTGCTTCGGGTTCCTGGCGAAGGGTCTCCTTCTGTGCTTGAGACAGTGTTCTTCTGTCCGGGGTCCGTCGGCATGCTTACAGCCAAGACGCTGACATGAGGAGCAGTGTGGGCTCGGAAGAGGCGGCCGATGTTCCTGAGGTTCCTCCGGTGCTGTCCCTCTTGCCCTCCTGGGGCACGGAGGCGTTTTTACAGGGCCGAGAGGGGGCCTCGTCCCTCATGTATCAGGAGGGGGAAAAACACACAGACACAATTAATCGTCGATTCCCCCGAAAAGATGGGACATCATGGGAAGTGGGGGGAAGACAAAAACCCAGAACATACAGGAAATCATGGCGAATCCTGTGACAGATTTGTGTGTGCATTTCTTTGCGTGTGTCCCAGGGGCCCTTCCTTCGGCGGCCCGACTGTGAGCCGTTCTCTGCCCCGCTGCCCCCCGGGGGGAGGAGGTGTCCCGAGCTCCGTTCGCCGGGGTGCGGCTCCCTGGGCCCGTCCCGGGGCCTCCCGTGGCCGACGGGCCCCCCCCCCAGGAGAAGCAGCAGGAGCCTTCCGTCGGGCCTGCCCCTCTACGGGAGGAGTATCCCGAGATGGTCAAACAAGAGCCTGGGGGCGGTTTTTGTTGATTGCAACGTTTGAGCTTTGTCTGAGCATGTTCTGGGCATGTGTTGTTTCACGTCTAAACATCCGCCTGTAGGGGGGACGCCCGACCTAACAGAAGCCCTCGAGAACAAGCAGGACCTCTTGGTTCCAGTGACGAAAAGCTGGCTTTGGCATCGCTCGGACGTGGGCGTCTCTTCTCGGCTATCTAGGACCATCGAGGAATGTCGGCGGCGAGCGAGGGGGGGAAGTGAGAAGGGGTGGGCCTTCTTAGAAATTTCGGCAGTCCCCCGGGCTCCTGAGAGGTTTTTTGAGCCTTCCCCGAAGGCAGAAAAAGCCTCTCAGAAGGCGCGAGGGCTTCTGAGAAGCTCCGCCGCCTTCTGAGGAGGCCTTCGCCTTCTCACTTCCCCCCCTCGCTCGCCGCCGAGAATGGGCGTCCGAGCGATGGCCAGGTGGCACCGCAGGGAAAGCCCCCGGGGGCCCAGGGGACACCCGAGGGCCGACCGCCATCCGCCTTGCAAAGGACAGCAGAGGCTGCCGAGAGGAGCACGACAAACACTGCCAAAAGCCCCAGGGACTCGAGTAGGGGATCAGCTACTGAATGGATTCACCCCAGAAATGATTTCCCGTCTAATCTGCGAACGAACACGCAGCATGCTCCACGGAACATTCCACGTTTTTTTTGGGGGGGAGTTTTATACCGCAGATTCGACGAACAACAATTGCGGCAAATCAGCTCTGGACAGTCGGCCCTGATTAGTAGGTCGACCCTGCCAGCTCAAGGGTACCCTTGTGTCCTGTGCCTCGCGACACGTGCCTTCTTACACTCCTATGGCGATGTGGCCTTCGCCAGGGTCTTGTGTCCTCTCGCGTGTCCTCTCCAATCAAGTCCGACTGTAGTCGATTGCCGACTCGAGGGATGCACAGCTGGCACCAGGGAGAGCCACGGGGCCCAGGGCAAGCCGAGGGCCGAGCGCCTTTGAGACGGTCGCAGACGTGTTCGAGAACCGGTAGCAGCGACATCGACGGCGACGGCGGTGGCAGCAGCGACGTCGTCCTCTCGCAGGTTTAGGTCGGGCCTGTCCCTCTACAGGAAGAATCTCTAAGAATAGTCAAAAAATAGTCTGGGGACGATTTTTTGATGATTGCTTCTATATGTATGTATATATATATATATATATATATGAGTATTGTCTGGGTACTTGCAATTTCTCGCCCAAAATCCCCCTGAAGGGGGACAGGCCCGACCTAAACGTAGGTCTGGGGGGCGTTCTGGCGGCCCGCGCTGCCGCGACTGGACGCGGCTCGGAAAACTTGCAAGAATTGGCCCCGGAGGGGTTCCTGGCTTTAACGGCAGGGCCGTTTTTTTCACCGTTTCCCCAAAAATGTACAGTGAAAATGGAAACGGCAAAAAAACGGCGACCGGAAACGGCAAAAAAACGTCTCCAGGGTTGGAACCTGAGCCGGAACCGGTCAAACAACGGCGACGGAATCGGTAAAAAAACGGTGTCGGAACCGGCAAAAAACCGCAAAACGGAACCGGTAAAAAACGGCCCTGTCGTTTCCAGGGCCTTGGGGACGGGTTTTGAATGGATGTTTGGTCAGGGGCGGGAGCGATCGGCACGAACCGTCGGGGCGTCCGTGCGGACCTCCCAAGGCTTGCATGCATGCAGGCTTTCTTGCTGTCCTCCCTCAGAGGTTCTGCTGGCCGCCCCAGTGCTGCTGCTCGCGCCAACGCTCGTTCCAGCACCGCCAGGCGATCCAGGTTTGCCTCGGTCAGGCAGTCCGTCATCTCGCACCTGCCCTTTTGGAGGAAGTACGCGTCCGACGAGACGACGGAGTCCCACGTGTCGGGCGTTTCCACTTCCATCAGGGGGCCGAAAAACAGCATACACATCCAGTTCGGGAGGTCCGCGCAGGATTTCTGGGGCCGGCGTTGGACCTCCCTCCCCGCACCGCAATCCGCGCGGATGCTCGACAGTTTTTTTTTGTTCGAGGCGATAAGATAAGGATCACCTCTGGGCTCAGGAGGACCCCTGCATTTCGAGGCGTTCTTCGGATCGAGATTGGGGAGCCTATTCGTGACCGAGGCTTGCCGCTACCAAAAACGCCCCCTCGTGATTCAACGTCCTTTCTGGCAGCACAGTGACTGTGTGCCGGTGTTCGGTCTCCTGTCCATGGAGTCCACGCCGTCGGCGGCGGGGAGGAAACAGTTCGCCCGCGCCGTGAGGAAGACGTTTGAGTACAGGACGGGGGAGCAGGCGGACACGAGTCGCCTCGCTCGCTTCGTGAAGAGCCGCTCCTTCACAGTGGCGGTCGCCAGCGCGATCATCGCGAGCACGCTGCTGATCGGCGTCGAGACCCAGCTTCTCTCTCAGGGGTCGGGCTCGGAGCAGGTGGGCGGGGTAAGAAAGCTGCAGGGCTGGACCTAAACGCTGTTTTACTGGATTTCGGCTGTGTCTTGTTTTTCAGTTCGGCAGGGAGGTACAGGGAAAGAGGTAGAGCAAAACGAACACCAAAACGACAACAACACGAAACATAACGTTTAGGCCCAGCCCTGTATTGTGCTGTCTTTGCATGTCGCGCTTCAACTGGCCACTGGTGGTATGGATCCAGATGTCTATGAGCAGTGCTCGCGAGAGTAGTCCCCTCCATCTCCCTCGTCTCCTTCCTCTCCCCTTCGGTGTGGTACGCTTTATTCTCGGCGTGTTTGCATCGGTCTAGATTTAAGCCTAGATTCCCGATTCCCGCGCTGAGCAGAGTGCCGAGTGGATCGACAGTCTGGTTGTGGGCGAAATTCGCGTCCTTTCGACCCTTTATTGCGTCCTTTGCCATCTGTTTCCCTGTGTTTTTCCTGTCTGTCTCTTTTCAAGAGTTTACGTCGTTGTTGACGCAGCTTAGACGCCAGCTTTGTTGTTGTCTGTTCCTCCAGCAGCCCCTCCCCCCCAGGAGGCCCCAGAGAGCCTCCCGAGAGGCTACCGAGAAGTCCCCGCTGTCCGTGGCGCTGACTTACCACGGCAGTGAGGACAAGGGCCCCCAGGAGACCCCTTGCGCACGATCTAGCTCGCGACGATGCTGGGTATTGCATGCGTAACCATCAGCTGCCAGAGCTCCGCGCGGATCTCTTGGATCGGCACCGGGCCCCCTGGCGGCGACTCTGGCGATGCCCCGTGGGCTGTTCCGAGCACCAGGAGTGGGAATCCGGCAGCAGTCCAGGGAATCCGCGCGAACGTCTAAAGGTTTCGTTTGTGTTTTGCTTTGCTCCTCCAGTGAGCCTCCGCCTAAGGTCGGCGTGTCGTCGTGCGTGTTGTGGGGGGGACTTTTCTTTCACCGCTCAGGTGATGGATGTCCTGTGGATGACGAACTACGTGCTCACCTTCCTGTTTGTGGCCGAGCTGCTGGTACGGATCTGGGTGTTCAGGTTGGATTTCTTTGTCGTGGATCGGTTGTGGAATGTTTTCGATACCATCATCGTGTTGCTGGCGGCTGTCGAGGTTGCTCTGGATATTGCTTTGCACACGTTCTCGCACAGCACCGGCAATCCCTTCGATAACGGTGGAACGGCGAAGATACTCCGCCTCGTTCGCCTCACTCGGCTTCTTCGGCTCGTTCGCACATTTCGCCAGCTGAAACCCTTGCGGATGTTGGTGCAATCTATCGCATTCGCCGGTAAATCTGTTTTCTGGGCACTCATGCTGCTCCTCATGATCCTATACGCTGTTGGAGTCGTCTTGACACAAGCCGTGACGGAGTACACCAAGGGTGGCAAGCGAGTCGATGATGAGATTTTGATATCTTTCTATGGGGACCTCTACCGGTCAATGCTCAGTCTTTGGATGGCTGTCTCTGGCGGAATTAGCTGGATCGAGCTGACCCATCCGCTGGAGAAAACCGGGAACGATTTGATCATATGGATGTTCTTGTTCTACGTTCCAACACTCCGTGTTTTCCGCCAGCCCATCGCTGTGGCATTGCGCGAACTTGTCTTGCTGCTGGTTGTGTGTTGTGTTTCCCCGCTGTCATGTGAGGCCAACGACTGGAAAGCATATCGAACACAAACAAAAGCATAAACATAAGCGTTCGGAGGTCCGCGCGGATTCCCTGGATTTGGGTTGGACTCCTCTCCCTGGTACGTGGAGCGCTCCAGGGTCGGCGCAAGAGGCACCCCAGGGACCCAGCGCCGGTCTAGGAAATCCGCGCGGACCTCCGAAAGTGTATGACAACGCAGCTTGCTGCTTTAGCATCGACGCAGGATAGACTGTGGCCAAGGTCTCTCCCACCTGTATAGAATAGATCTCGGGGAAGAACCTTGACTTACACAAAAAAAACTGTGAGGTTCGCGCGGGTTTCTTGGATATGTGCTTGACCCCCCTTGGCGGCGCCTCCAACGCCGCCCCTGGGCCGCTCCGAGCGCCAGGGAGCGGAGTCCAGCGCCGATCCAAGAAATCAGCACAGACCTCCCAGTTTTTATGCTTATGTCATTGTTTGTTCCCCTGAGATCAGTTTCTCTGGCCTCGCTGCTGTGGTAAGCCAGCGCTGCGGACAGCGGGGGTCTCTTGGTAGCCCATCGACCGCGTATCAGCATAATGCAACGCCAAGCTCAGACGCCGATGAGCATAGCAGCTGCGCGCCGTGCGCATGGAATTGCGCTGCGTTGTCCTTGGGTGACCGTCAAGAAGTTCCCGCTTGCAGTTTACAGTCGGCCCGGATTAGTAGGTCGACCTTGCCAGCTCAAGGGTAATTATCTTTGTGTCCTGTGCCTCGCGACACGTGCCTTCTTACACTCCTATGGCGATGTGGCCCTCGGAAGAGTCTTGTGTCCAATCGCGTGTCGTGTCCAATCGAGGCCGACTGTACACGTCGTTTGACGGTCTAAGTGGTCTAAGGCTCCGCATATTGGTGGGCGTTTTTTTTTCATGCGTTCAAAATTGTGCGCCAGGCTCTGAGATGGCTCCTGGCGGGGCCCCCAGGAGGCGATGGTTATCACATCGTGCCGAGTTGCTGCACATGTTCGACATTCTCGATCAGGGCTGGACCTGAACGGTGTTTTTGGTGATTTCTTGGGCCGTTTCCGTTTCGACTTCGTTTTGCGGTAAAGGCGGATTTGAGACAAAAGCGAGGAAAACCGAAAACAGAACGAAAACGAAAATCATCGTTTGGTTTCAGCCCTGTTCTCGATGTTGCACCTCAGGATGGCTCCAAGGAGGTGCTCCAGGTGCGCCCAAGAGGGCCCATGCGGCCCACAGGACCCCCCCTGAAAGGGCCTCCTGGGATCGCCCAAACTAGTTCCGAAATTGCCCCACAGGGTTTTTTAAAGATCCCCTCGGAAGGGCCCCGTGAGGCCCCAGAGGGCAAATTAGAATCCCAAGAATTGACCAAGAAGGCACCAACATACATAGCCCAACGAGAGCCCCAAGACAAGGACAAGGCAGCGAACTCGCGACCTCTTCAGGGGAAGGCGCGCTTCCCGCCCCCGCGTTCGCAAGGTCTGACGTGCCTCTGGCAAGCTGGGCCGGCGAATTGTGTTCGTGTATTTCTTTATCTTAAACGTGGTTACAGGCCGCGTGCGAGCGAAATTGGGACGGAACTCATCCTCACAATGAACAGCGGCAGTCCCTACCCATTTTGAACAGGGGTGGTTGCCGGTGTCGCCGCGGACTTTCTCCATTTGTGACAAACGTCGTTTTCTCCATGTGTGACAAACGTCGCTTGGCCAACAGCGGCCGCTGTCAGTTTCGGACAGCATTCTCTGTTAGGCATCGCCCCCATTATTTCTGGTCCCATGTCGGACGTCCCAACAGGTGTCTTTTGTCAGAATGCATTCGAGGGGGCTCAACAAGACTTGGAGCTTACCATTGAGAACCAGCTCAAGGATAAACAAGTATTCCTTGACCGGCTGACGATGCTTTTCCGGGAGATGAACGTGGACTCCGATGAGACAGATGAGCAATGGTTGTCAGCAGCCGAGCTTAATTTCCACCTGGAGCAGCCGAAGGTGCAGTCCTGGTTCAAGGTCGGGGTCTCGGCAATGGCCCGGCCGAGAGCTACCCTTTCCTCCCCAGGCTCCCGACGTCGTGAATTGCTCATGGCGTGAACCCCTTCAGGTCTGGATCGCCCCGAAAAAAAAAAGACACCACTGCACCCATCTACGGCCCTCCATCTTGCGCTACGGCCCATCGGGGGCCGCATCGCATACCACGGACAAAAATCCCACGCCTGTTCTCGTGGTCTACGCTAAGCCCCGTGGCCCGTGGGGCCCTCGGTGGGGTGGTGTCGTTTGTTTTCTGCTCCACCGGTCCCCTTCCCGAGGGCCAGTTTCCCATCCTGGCAAGTCTTTTGACGGCCCCGACGCCCTGCGAGGGCCCTCGGAGGCCGACATCGCGAAAGGCCTGCCGTCGTGATGCTTGCGCGGCGCGAGGGGCGCTGGCTCCGCAGGTCCCCCTCGGACGGGGCTGGGACGAGGAGGAATCCTGTCCGGAGCGTCTGGGACCCCCGGGTGGAGAGGCATATTATCATCGCCCCATGCCGTGACGAGCTGATGTTTTCAGTGCGTCCGAGAGGTCCCGACGCTCTCCACGGGGCCCGTTCTTCACCCCGGGTCCGTATTTGATGGCCCTGGAGATCGATATGAGGCCGAGGTCGCGGAAAGGCGCCTGGATGGAAGAGCGCAGATCGTCAGAGATACTTTGGGATGCTTTCCCCTGACGAGTGGGACAACGAAGCCATCCTTTTGCTGGTTTCGAGGAGCCCATGCGCCGCCATTCGTCCTCCCTCCCCTGCCAGCGACTCGATGCGGACGGACGCCTCGACTAGCAGCCACTGGGCAGCCCCTGCATCCCTGCAAAGCTCGCCTGACCCCCCTCTCTCGGGTGGGGACGTGAGCTCGACCGCCGAGGCATTGGACATCGACGCGAAGCAGACGTGGAAGCTCTTCAAGATCCTCGACCCGAACAACGACGGCCGCATCTCCCTCGACGACTTCGTCGAGGGGTGCCTGCGGCTGAAGGGGCACGCCACGCGCGTCGACGTGGAGTCGCTGAAGTGGGAGATCAGAGGCGGGGCCGCAGGGGTGCCGGGGATGGCTCACGTCAGAGCGTGAATTGTCTACCCCGCTTTCGCTTCCAGGCAAAACCAAGTCATGCCACGCGCCCCCTCGTCAAGCGGCCTGGCCAGTACAGGCCGCAGTTTGGCATCGCTTGGTGTCTCTTGGAAGCGAGAGTGGTCAAAAGCGAGGTAGGTTTGTTTGCCCCCTATCACGGTCCGCCCCGATCCTCGGAACAGGGGCACCGATGCCGGTGCCCTTGCGCCTCGCCGTTGCGTTCTCGGACCTCTTGGGAGGCCCTCGCGCACCAGCCGCCTAGAAGGTGGTTTCTCGGAGGTCTCTGGGAGCCGTCTTGGGTCTCTCTCTCTTGGGGCCCTCGCGGAGCCACTTGGGGCACTCTTGGGGCCATATCGGGGCTTTTTGGAGGGGCCTCGGGGCCCTCTTGGGGCTCTCTGGAAGAATCTAGGGGACCTCCTGGGGCGGTCTTGGGCCCCATGGCTCAAAAAGAGGGTGGGCACAAATTCAGTTTTCCCCCCTCTGGAGGCTCAAACATGATGTCTTCAGACCCTCTTGGGGCGCTCTTGGGCGCTCTTGGGCCCCTCTTGGGGCTTTCTCGGGCCGTCTTGGGGCCATCTTGAAGCTTCAAGAGCCCATCGGAAGCAAAAAGGCGAGAAGGCAACAAACACGGATTTCCTTTTAGGTGTGTTAACGGATTTTGACGTCTTGGGAGGGGTTTTTGGGGCCTCTTGGATGTGTGTCGGAGGCTATGTTTAACCATCTTGAAGTATCTTGAGACATTTTGGAGGCCATGTTGGGCTCTCTGAGGCCCTCTTGGAGCCATCTTGGGTCATCTTGGGCGCTCTAACCCGCGCCCCCCCTCCAAGGCCCAGCGGAGGGGGCATGTGGAGGGGTCAAGACTCCCTCCCAGATAGCAAGCCGTCTAGCTCACTCCCACACGCCCTCCCGACACATGAGCAACACCCGAGCCTCAGCAGGTTGAGCGGCCGCATTTGGTGGATGGGCAGCTGCCGGGAACCAGGACCGACCCCATGTGCGCGACGCCGGGGCGCGGTGCGCCACGCTTGCTAGGCGCGCCACGCGCGCCAGGCACCCCGTGGCCCGAACGTGCCGGGCACGCCAGGTGGGCCAGGTGCTCCACGTGCGCCAGGTGCGCTGCATACTCCCGCCGGGCCAGGTGCGCCGCGTTCGGGGCACGTGCAGCGTGTGTCGGGTGCGCCTGCGCACGTGGCAGCACACATCTGGGAACATGTCCGCCCCCGCCACCCCTGTCGAAAGCCAATGCCCGGCATTGTGTCTGGCGGGCCTGTGCACAGCAGGCCATACGCCACCACTCCTGGCGCCCCTGTCAAAAACCGCTTGGCAGTGATCGCGGGGTGGCCGCGATTGATTCAGATTTCGCTGGGAGGTGCATGTTGTATTGTTTGTTGACAGTGGCGGTGTCCCTGCGCACAGCAGGGCATATGCTGACACCCTCGCCGTCCTTGTCAAAAGACAATCTCACGTGCTCGCGAACCTCACGAACATGACTCAAGACTTTGCACCAAAGGGCACTTTGTATGTTCTTTGACAGGGATGGTGGGGGGCCGCATCGGGTTGGTTGCGCATGCTCCGAATTCGGAGGCAGAGTGTGTGTTTGCAATTTTTTGGACAGGGATGGCTGGGGGGATGTGGGCATAGGGTCGGCACTGTTCCTTGTTGGCTGCTGGTCGCCTAGGGGAGAGGGTGTACATTGATAGGGAGCATCACCCCCTCCACCGAGCAAAGGAGGGAGAGGTTGTGGCATATATATATATGTATATATATATATAGAGAGAGAGAGAGAAAAAAAAAAAAAAAGGGCACAATCCGTCAAGCCACCTACGCCAAGAGGGCCGGTGGCATTCTAGTCAGAAGGCACCCCGAGAGAGGTCCACGGAGCAGCTGTATCGGCACATGCTGGTTTCGCAGGACCCCCGAATTCTCAATTCCGATGTTCCTCTGGTCCGCTCTGCGCCGCGAACCTGACCCGCAGGAGCCAGAAGCGATGGAACGTCTCCTGGTCTAACCTTGCCACGACGCGAGAGGGTCTGCGGGGATCTGCGCGGGGGTTGCCAAGGAGGTATAGGGGATGATCAGTGAGTGCATACCCGGGAGGTCACACGTGCCCCAAGGGTCCTAGGGGATTCGATTTCTCCGCTCAGTGGGCGGAGCCCACTTAGCCGGAGCCGCTGACACCCCCAAGCCGCTCGGGGCACATCTAGTCCACTTTACAGCCAGGTGAGGCCAGCTCTAGCCCACCTTGGACCTTGGCGTCCACTGAGAACCACCCTCTCCCCTTATCAGCCCTTGCACCGATCCCAGGATCCGATTCCGTCTCTGGTCCAGCTTCGCGGCCCGATTCATCGACTAGACGTAAGCGTGACCCTTCGCCGGAGTGACTGTTGGTGCGGGCCCAGAGGGGTCACCCGACCGCCGACCGCGATGCCATAGTGGCGTCTTGCGCGCCTGTGCTTGGTCCCCTCGCCCCCCCAAAAGCCGCACACCGAAGGTCACTCTTGCCTCGGCTTCAGTCAGGCATGTCCCTCCACAGGAGGAATATTCAAGCATAGTCCAAAAATAGTCCAGAGACGATGTTTCGATTAGTTGCTGACTGTCGTTGGATGTCCTTTGACTATTTTCATGTTTCGTCCAAAATCCGCCCATAGGAGGACATGCCCGGCCTAAGCATACGGCCTCTCTTACGCGTAGCCGAATCCCGCTGCAGGCCTCAGGCCTGCCGGGGGGTGGTCGACCCAAGGGAGGGAAAACCACCCAGACTGGACATCTGGCGTTTACTAAACGGCCCTGGGCCTTTCCTAAACAGCCCTGCCCTGCTCGATTCCTTCTCTGGGCGCGTTTGCTGAACGACTCCGCGCGTCGGGGCGGTTATTCTGGGGGTGGATTTGTTGATTTCTGCCGGCGGAGTTTTGTCGCCTCGGCCAAGCTTTTTTTGGGGAGGAGGAGGAGGAGGAGGAGGAGGAGGAGGAGGAGGAGGAGGAGCACGAGGAGGAGCAGGAGGAGGAATTGGAGGAGGAGGAGGAGGAGCAGGAGCAGGAGCAGGAGCAGGAGCAGGAGCAGGAGAAGGAGGAGGAATTGGAGCAGGAGGAGGAGGAGAAGGCGAAGGAGGAGGGGGAGGAGGAGGAGCAGGAGGAGGAATTGGAGCAGGAGGAGGAATAGGAGGAGGAGGAGGAGGAGCAGGAGGAGGAGCAGGAGCCTCGCCTCGGGCGTCCGCCTCGTGACCTCGGCGAACGGGGGGCCGCTCTCAAGGCGGGGCTCGCCCCAGGCCTCCCCTTTTGGGCGGGGCCCCGGGCGGGCCCCCGGCTCTCTCGGCGAGGCGGTCGGTAGCTTCGGCTCGGCGTTAGGTCGGGCCTGTCCCTCCACAGGAGGAGTATGCAATCGGAGGAGGAGGAGGAGGAGGAGGAGGAGGAGGAGGAGGAGGAGGAGGAGGAGGAGGAGGAGGAGGGTGAGGAGGAGGAGGGAGGAGGGAGGAGGGAGGAGGAGGAGGAGGGGGAGGGGGAGGAGGAGGAATTGGAGGAGGAATTGGAGGAGGAGGAGGAGGAGGAGGAATTGGAATTGTTTGAATACTCCTCCTGTCCCTCCACAGGAGGAGTATTGAAACATAGTAACAGTCTGGGGGCGATGTTTTGAGCATCGTTTGGCAATTGTTTCGGGGGTGGACAGGCCTCCTACCCTGACACGTCGATTAAGGAATTGGCCGTTTTCGGTTCACGAGATGGCGTCGCGGCCGTTATTTTTGCGGGTCCAGGTCCGTCGGTTGCGGCCCCAGGCCGTTTTCACTAAGGGGAGGGTTACTAAAGGGAGGTTTGTCCACCGCTGATTCAAACATAGAGATAGTCTGGGGACGATGTTTTGAGCATTGTTCGGCACATGTTGCATCTGCTTTGACTGTGTTCCATTTTTCCTCCATAATCTGCCCGTACGGGGGACAGGCCCGACCTCAGCTCAGCGTGTCGCGACGCTGGTTCTGGCCCATGACGCTTCTTCGGCGCGACACGCCGTCACGCTCCAATTTCCAAGCTTCGTCGTCTCCATGCGTGGAGAGGGAGGAGGCAGCGCGGAGAGAAGCCTTGGTCCTGGATCCTCGTCGGCAGTTGAACGACAGGGCGGCGCGGAGAGGCCTCGATCCTGGATAATATTTTCTTCGGGGGGAGCAGCTCCCAGACCTCCGACGTTTTGATTTGTGTTCAGAACGTGGACCCGCAGGCGTCTCGACCCCTTTCCAGTGGACCGACTGGCATAAACGTAGACGGTCGGAGTTCCGATTTCTTGGATTGGCAATGGACCCCCATCCTTGGCGCGCGGATCGCGCAAGGGGCGGCGCCGGAGACGCCACCAGAGGGGCCTCAGCGCCGATCCAAGAAATCCGCGCGGAGCGCCACCAGTTTCCATTTATGCAGTTAGCTGTTCTCTTATTTTCATCCCGGGTCGTTTCCTGATGGTCCAGGGGCCCCGCGAGGGCCCCCAGAGGCCGAAAATGGGCAAACAGCTTTCCGTCGTGATCTTTTCGCGGCGCCATGGGTCTGAGTCTGGGGGGTAAAACTCGACCAAGGGCCCTCTCCAGAGGCACGTTCTGACCAACATGTCGAGGCGCATCCAGCCGTGGCCGCTAGAAGGGTGGAAGAAAGCCCCAACACCTCGATCCAAGAACCTCGGACCTCGGAGGGGGTCTGGGGAGGAGGCTGGCTTGGGGCCTGCCTGGGCCAAGGATCACACTTCTGCTGGCCCTTGTCCTCTTGTATCGTTGTTGTGTCGCCTCCCCTCTCGTTTCCTGTGCTCCCGCTCTGTCGTTTCTCTGCGGTCTGGGGTCGTCGTCGCTTCCGCCGCGGCCTCGTCTTCCTCCCCCTCTCCCCCGGCCCCCCGTCGCCCTCACAAAAAAAACAATGAAAACCCCTCGCAGCGCGCTCGGAGGGGAAATGTGGGGAGGGGAAGTGGGGGGGGAAGACGAACAGCCCAGAGAGCATGGGAAAACACAGGAGGAGGAGGAGGAGCATGAGGAGGAGGAGGAGGAGGAGAAGGAGGAGATGGGAAATCCCTGCAGATCTGCGTGTCTCTGTTGGCGTGCCTCCCTGGGACCCCCTGCGCCCTGCAGGGGCGAACAAGCGGCACGAGCAGCAGGCCCAGAAGCTCGTCGGGCTCGTCGAGGACCTCCGGGACCTGCGGGCCTCCGTGGCCAGGACCGCGCCGCCCCGCCGGCGCCCGCCCGCCGTCGCGCCGCAGGTCCTCGGGGGCACGCGCCCGTCGTCGGAAGCAGGCTTTCTGTTTTGTGGAGATCCAGATTGTAACTCCTACTCTCCTCCTCCTCCCTCCCTCTTCCTCCCTCCTCCTCCTCCTCCTCCTCCTCCTCCTCCTCCTCCTCCTCCTCCTCCTCCCTCCTCCTCCTCCCTCCTCCCTCCTCCCTCCTCCCTCCTCCCTCCCCCCCCTCCTCCTCTTCCTCCTCCTCCCGATCCCTCCTCCCTCCTCCCTCCTCCTCCTCCCTCCTGCTTTCCTCTTCCTCCTCCTCCTCCCCTCCTCCTCCTCCTCCTCCTCCTCCTCATCCTGATCTCCTCCTCCTCGTTCTCCTCCTCTCCTCCTCCTCCTCCTCCTCCTCCTCCTCCTCCTCCTCCTCCTCCTCCTCCTCCTCCTCCTCCTCCTCCTCCTCCCTCCTCCCTCATGGCGCACTCTCAAGGCCGCGATGCAAGTCGCTGCCGCCCGCGCGCGTGATACGCTCACCAAGATTACCGCTGCCGAGCTGAAGTCCCAGACTGCGAGCGTCTCCAAGGAAACCCGCGTCATGACGCTGCGCAGCATCGCCCACGCAGTCTGGTACCAGAACGTCCCTCTCGCTAAAACGCTGATCGAGAACACCGGGATCGGGCACTTCCACCTGCGACGGCAACATGGTCAGCATCAACGACATGACCTCGTTCACCTCGACCGCGGACACCCCGCACGCCAGCTTCAGTGACGAGCGGAAAGCACTCTCAGTTGCCCGCTCGCGTGCTGCCTTTGCCGCCAACAACGCTTCCGTCGGCCAGAAGTGGCGCCAGCGCGCCTAGCGAGAAGGCTACCGCGGCGAACTCTGAAAACCGTTTTCCAAGCGCATCGTGCTGACTGGCATCAAGATCATCGTCGGCAATTCTTCCAACGTCGTGACAGACCCTGCCGCCATGAACCAGGCCATCATGCGTCAATGGGCCCCCGTGTTCGCCGATAAGCACGTGGACGAGAAGCGTCTCACAGACTAACTCGACTCTGTCTTCTCCCGGCGCCAGCGCGCAAATCTTTCAGTCCCCGGCGCACAAACACTTGAGAAGGCAGCGCGACTTGTTGGGGATTCAGCCCCTGGCCCCGACGGTTTTCCATGCAGGGCGTGGCTCCGCACACCCCAAAGCTTCGGCACCCTCGCCGACGCCTGCTACGACATCGCGGCCAATCGCAACATCCCGCACGACCTGGACTTCTCTCCCATGGCTTTGCAGCCGAAAGGCAACGAGCCATCGGGCAACGCGGAGTGCACGCGCTCCCCTGATTGCCTTCGTCCGCTTTCAATGAAGAGCTCGGACGTGAAGCTGCTGGCGCCCGCCGCCAACCGCCAGCTCCACGCCCTTGCAGCCCAGGCGACTCCCGTGCAGCAGGGCTTCGTCAACGGCCGCCAGTTTTTGAACAGCGTCGTCGTCGTGGATGCCGCCGCGCGTCGACACAGCCTTTCCCCCTCAGCCTCCTCAGACATGCCCGTCTTCGCCAGCATGGACATCGCAGCCGCGCGCCCAAGCCTCGGCCACCAGTGGATGTGGAACGTTCTCGAGCGCTGGGGCATCCACGGTCACGTGATGCGTCCAGGCCTGCTACTTCCGGCCCGTCTCGTTCCTCGACATGGGAGGAGAACGTCGCCCACTCTTGATCGCTGCATCGGGCGTTGCTCAGGGATGCCCCCTGAGCGGCGCGATCTGGGCGCTCGTCTTCGACCCCATCATCGTCGCCAGCAGCCTAGAGCTCAGCGCCATCCACCGCGGGCCCACCAGCGCATGCGCCGACGATCTCGGCATCATCCTCGCCAGGCTGGCCGACATCAGCGCGCTCGCCCCCGCGTGATCGCGGCGGAGACCCTAGCGGGCTTCCAGCTCCAGGCCAAGAAGTGCATCGTCGCCCCGACCTGGGCCCTCCCGTCGCAAGACCTCGTAGCCGAGATGCGACTCGTCCTTGCGGCTGCCCATGCCCCATGGCTCAACTCCAAGATCGAGTCCAAAGCCCGCGACTTTGGCTTCGACGTGGGCCCTGGCGCCACGCTTGCCGACCAATGGCGCGGCCCCGCAGCGAAGTGGCGGGACCGCGCGGAGAAGCCCGCCGCCTCGCGCGCCCCCATCCAGCGAAGCATCAAGCTGTGCAGCGTCGCCGCCGCCACGCGCCTGGGCCACGTCGGCCAGCTCTTCGAACCGCCCGAGGGCATCCTGCAGAAGGAGCTGCAGGCCATCAACAAGCTGCTGCGCGCCGCCCCCCCGACGAACGCGGAGGCCCCCGTCGGCATCGAGAACGACCTGGCCGCCACCCCCCGGAGAACGGCGTCTACCACTGCGACAGAGCGGAGACGCGCACACCGCGAACTTTGCGACGCCGCCTGCGACCAGCACCCCGTCACCACTGCGCTGCAAGGCGCGCGGTGCAACGACCGCTGGGAGATCAAGGCCGCCATCGCCCAGCGCTTCGAGGGCGTCACCAACCCCGCCATTTTCGCCGACTGCAGAGGAACACATTTCAAACGCCTCACACGCATTGCTGGACCCCGACCCCGCGCGCGAGCCGCCGCGATCGCTAGCCGCGAGCGCGCCGCCAAAGCAGGACAACCAGGCACCATTCAACGCCACGTCCCCCGCCAATCTCAACAACCTGACCGCCATCAACATCGCATACCTGCCATGGCCACGCCGCAGAGAGCCTACGCGAAGCCGCTGAACGAGCAGCTCTGCGCCGACACCACGCCTGACACCGCCCAGCGCCGCCGGATCGCGCGGTGCCTTAGGGTGGGCCCTTCTCGCCAGTTTACACGCGAACCGCCATCTGGTCCGCTACGCGAATCTGAACGTGCCCAGGGGAGTCTTCTGAACAGGGCGCGCTCATGGGCCGCGCACTGGCTGCTCGACCCCGATGAACGGCCGACGCATCAACGCCCAAGAGGACTGGACGCAGTGGTGCGCCCCCTACTTGCACGAGCTGCTCGGCTCCGACCTGTTCCAGCCGTTGCACGCCACCGACATCCAGCGACACCGCGTCGCCGTCGATCTGCGCACACTGTCGCGGGGCACCAGCGGCGCTGGGCGAATTCTCCTGGAGCAAGCCTGACCCGCCCAGAGGCGCATAGCGAGTCGCCGCGCAGCCGATCGCCACGCAGTCGCACTTCGGCGCTCAGCCCCGCGGCCGCCCAACACCGCGCCCGACGCCGCTGGGTCGACCACGCCCTGCCCTTTCTGGAGCCCGACGCCGGCCCTGGCGACATTCACCGCGACGGCGGCGACATGGGCGCCGAAGACCCACCTGCCGACGCCGACGCACGGCGCGATCTCCTTCAAGCCCAGCAAGTTCCTGATGATCTCCCCGCTCGGTCGACGCGCCCCCGCGCCCACCTTGCGACCCTGGCGCCCGCCAGGCTGTGGAGCGCCCTGAAGGTCCTTGCGGGCGCGTGGGCGACCTCGCACAGGACGCGCGTGATCCCGACCAAGCGCCCATGCCACTTCGGATGCCCGCGCGCCGACGACAGCATCCAGCACTACCTCATATGCGACCGGATGCGGCACCAGCTGAGCTTACTGCGCGGCCAGCCGAGCGCCAACATCATGACGAGGCTGGGCCTTCCTGCGCTGACCGAGCCGTTCCATGGGGCGAACGGCATCCCAAACACCATTGCCAGGCTCTCTGTGGCCACCAGGACATACCACCTGACGAAGGACTACGACATCCCAATGTCATACAACAAGCAAACGACTGCTGTTGCCGCCGCCCGCCGAGCCCTGAAGCTGGCCGCAGATATGCCAGGCGGGGCTGGCGCGCCGTAGCGCGGCTCACAAACAGACGCGCCCCCTCAGGCGACTTTCGCTTCCCCCTCCCTCCCTCTTCCCTCCCCCTCCTGCTCCGCCTCCTCCCCCTTCATCCTGATCCCTCCTCCCTCCTCCTCTTCCTCCTCCTCCTCCTCTTCATCCTCCTCCTGATCCCTCCTCCTCCCTCCTCTTCCTCCTCCTCCTCCTCCTTCTCCTCCTCTTCCTCCTCATTTTCCTCCTCCTCCTCTCTCCTCCTCCTCCTCTCTCCTCCTCCTCCTTTTTCTCCTCCTCCTCTTCCTCTTCCTCTTCCCTCCTCCTCCTGCTCCTCCTCCTCCTTCTCCTCCTTCTCCTCCTTCTCCTCCTCCTCCTTTCTCCTCCTCTTCCTCCTCCTCCACAACTATTCAAACTGAATACTACTCTCCCTCATCCCCTGATGACGGTTTGAAAGTGTCCAACCCTCCCCCCCGCATTGTTTTTTACACACAGGTTTCCCTGGAGTTGGGTTTTCGCATGCATTTCGTTCAAAATGCTGCTTTCGCTGAGGCACCGGCCTCATTTTCAGGCCCCGCTCGTTCCGAATCGCGCTCCCGCTGCAGCGCTGGCCGCAATTCCGCGCTTCCGCTCGCCCCGAATCGCGCTCCCGCTGCAGCGTTGGCCTCATTTCCGCGCCTTCGCTCGTGCGCTTCCGCTCGTTTCGATTCGTGTTCCCGCTGCAGCGTTGGCGTCATTTCCCGTGCCATGCCACGGCATGCAATGCAATGCTAGGTGTATGCTACGCTTTGCGGTGCTCTTCTACGCCATGCCACGCCGTGTTCTACAATGCGTCGCGTACCCTTTTCGGGATCTTTGCCCTGCTCGACATCCGACTGCGCGAGTAGAGAGGGGATCTGCGCCATGGTGAAGGATGGGGGGGAGGAGCAGGATGTCAGATATGACGCGAGCGCACCTAGCTTGTCCTCCTCCCCCTCCTCCTCCCCCTCCCTCTCCTCCTCCTCCCCCTCCTTCCTCCTCCTCCTCCTCCTCCTCCTCCTCCTCCTCCTTTTCCTCCTCTTTCTCCTCCTCCTCCTTCCTCCTCCTCCTCCACCCCACTCCTCCTCCTCCTCCTCCTTCCTCCCTCCTCCTCTCCTCCTCCTCCTCCTCCTCCTCCGCCTCCTCCTCCTCCTCTTCCTTCCGGTCTTCCTCCTCCTCCTGCTCCTCCTTCTCCTCCTTCTCCTCCGTCCTCCTACTCCTCCTTCCCTCCTCCCCTCCTCCTCCTCCTCCCCCCTTTTCCCTCCTCCTCCTCTTGCTCCTTTTCCTCCTTTTCCTCCTCCTCCTCCTCCTCCTTCCTCCTCCTCCTCCTGCTCCTCCTGTCTTTCTTCCATGTCCCTCTCTCCTTCTCCTCCTTTCTCCTCTCCTCCTCCTCGTCCTCTCCTTTTCCTCCTCCTCCTCCTCCTCCTCCTCCTCCTCCTCCTCCTTCCTCCTCTCCTCGTCCTCCTCCTCCCCCTTGTTCCTGCTCCTCGTCCTTCTCCTCCCTTCCTCCTCCTCCTCCTCCTCCTCTCCCTCCTCCTCCTCCTCCTCCTCCTCCTCCTCCTCCTCCCCCCCGTCCTCGTCCTCCTCCCCCTCCTTCTCCTCATCCTCCGCCTCCTTTCCTCTTCCCCTCCTCCTCCTCCTCCTCCTCCTCCTCCTCCTCCTCCTCTCCTCCTCCTCCTCCTCCTCCTTCCTCCTCCTCCTCCTCCTCCTCCTCCTCCTCCTCCTCCTCCTCCTCCTCCTCCCCCCTCCTCCCTCCTCCTCCTCCTCCTCCTCCTCCTCCTCCTCCCCTCCTCCTCCTCCTCCTCCCCCACGGCCGTGGCGACCGAGACATCCTCATGAGCCGCCAGATCTCAGGAATCCCAATTTCTTCCGACCCGCGCGTATCTGTTGGCAGATAATCAAGACGGGTTTTTGCTCATCGTTTCCGGCCTCTGGGCCCCCGCAGGGCCCCAGCGCCGTCAGAAAACACGGCTCGGGAGGAGAAGCCGCGCCCCTGGGGAAAAGGCTGCGGCATCCATGGTCCCGCGTGGACACGTCAAGGCACTTGATGTCTGGATGCCTCCTCCTCCATCTTCCTTCTCCTCCTCCTCCTCCATCCTCCTCCTCCTCCTCCTCCTCCTCCTCCTCCTCCTCCTCCTCCTCCTCCTCCTCCTCCTCCTCCTCCTCCTCCTCCTCCTCCTCCTCCTCCTCCTCCTCCTCCTCCTCCCCCACGGCCAGGACGGCCCCCAGTGCCGCGGCTGCTCACGACGACCCCCCGGGCCCCGCCCGCCCCACCCGACGCCGGGCGGGCCCTGCTACGGCGGCCCCCTGGCCCCCACACCCACGACGACCCCGACGCTCCCCGAGCCACGACAAGCCACGACGACCCCCCGACTGCCGCCGACGCCCCCGCCCCCCCGCCCCTCCCGCCGCCCGCCCCTTATCGTGTGTGCTTGCCTGCTGCTGTTTTTGCCTCCCCCTTCTCCTCCTGCATGTTGGCGTTTGCTCGCCGTGTTTTCCCTCTTCCCCCTCCCTCCCCTTCCTCTTCCTCCTGCCCCCACACCCCACCCCTCCATGGCGCGGGCGCGCGCGCCCAACGGCGGGGTCTGGTGGCTCACGCCCCACCGCCGCGTCCTCGCCCCGTGCGCTCTCGCCGCACGCTGTGCGCAACGGTCGTTTCCCCGTTCGTCCTCGTCCTCGTCCTCCTCCTTCCCTTGCCTCCTGGTCTCCTCTCTGCGCTTCCCTTTCCTTGCCTTCCCTCCCTCCTTCCCTTCCCTTTCCTCTCTGCGCCTCCCTCCTTCCCTTCCCTCTCTGTGCTTCCCCTTCTTGTCCCCTCTCTGCGCCTCCTCCCTCCCTTTCCTTCCCTCTCCGCCTGGCGCGCGCCCGCCCGCGAAGGCGGCCGGGCGCGGCCATCAGAGGCGCGTTTTCCTCCTGCCTGGGTCAGGGGCTGCGGTGCAGGCCGGAGGGGCCCAGACTGCGCAGCGCCACGGCGGCAGGGGCTGCGGCATGTAGTCTGGGGGTGATGTTTCGAATAACCTCGCCTCGTGCCCCGGATAACCAAACATACCCCCCCTTTTCCCCCTCTACTTTTCCCGTTAAATAGGATGTCATTGTTGAGATGGGCGCAGAGGCCGAGCTCGATAATGCACTGGGGAAGTTGCGAGTCGAAGTTACGATCATCTCATGTTGGCCAGCAGCAACATCAAACACGCTGAGCATGGCCATGGTGATCTCTAGAGTCAGTCGTGTGCCAAGGTGTACCAGGTCAGTCTACACGAGCGCCCTGTTTCACCATCATCATCAGCATCATCAGATCATCGTCATCATCATCGTCATCATCGTCATCATCATAACCTCTAACTAACACCACCTTCCCCGGGAAAATCGTTGATTATCCCCGCCAGACCCGCGAATTTTAATATCCCTGGGTGATGATTATCCGGGGCATTGGGTTATGTTTGGTTACTGTTATGGCACTTTGGGACTAGAAGCTGCAGGTTGGCTGACCTGCAGAGAGCTCTGGTGACCTCCGTCTCACGTGCCTCGTCAGGAGGAGGAGAAGGAGGAGGACAGGCGCCAAAGGGTTCGGTGGGGATCTCCCGACGCAAGACAATTTACGTCGTTGAGTTTTGTCCGTTACGTCGGATGTCCAGGGTGGACTGGCATGGGCGCTGGGGCCGCAAAGGGGATCGGGGGGCTACCTGGGGCGGCCCACGTGGCTTCAGGAAGGCCGATCCTCCGGACACTTGGGGCGCGCGTCACCGTGTGTAGCCCGCCTGTGAGCAAGGCTCGGCCAGATAGAGTCGAGCCCACCCGGGAACTCCCCCCCTTTCCGGGAGAGCAGGAAGGAGGGACGCCTCCGCGCGCCGCCCCAGGACGACGCAGGCCCTGGTCCTGGCCAGGACCACCGCGGCCGGCGACCGGCTGACGGTGCCCGCCGGTGGCCGCTCGGCGACCTCCCCGGACCTGACGATCTCCGCGGCGGGGGTCCTCTCCAGGCCTCGGCGGGTGCCAAGGGGCCCATGGCCACCTCGCGCCGTGTGCGATGAGTGGAGGAGAGAAGAGGTGCGCTTCCCCGGCTCCTAAAGACCCCCTCTGGGGCCCTAAACAAACCTGTTCTCCCAAAGACCCCCCCTCTGGGGCCCTAAACCCTTTAGGGGGCCAGAGGGGCCCCGTTCTGCGGCCCCCGCTGCCCCCCCCCCCACACGTGTTGCCCCCGCCACTTCGCGCCCAACTGCAGGGTCCTGCAGGACTGTGCAGGACCCGTCGAAGCCTGACTGACCTGGGCTTCGGTTGACCCGGGGCAGCGCGTCCACGACCGGCGTTTCCGAGCGCGCGGGGCCCCCGCCGCACATGGACCCATCGGGTCCTCCCCGCGCCACCCCTGGGGAACCAGACCCCCTCGCGCGCGAAAGAAATCACGCCCGGCGGTGTCTCGCTGCTCTGGGCTTTTCGGGGCCCCTCGCCAGGCCTCGGTGCCGCCGCGCAAGTGATTCAGGGCGAAAAACTTGCCCCCGGGAAGGGGTCCAGACCGCACGGGGTGCAGACCTCGGGGGTCTCAGGGGAAGAGGGTCCATACCTCAGAGGGGGCTCATGACGTCGGGGGTCTGAGGAGGGGAAGGAGCACCGAGCACCGCGCGAGCGCCGCCCCACCGCGCGAGCACCGCCCCACCGCCAGGGCGTCTGGGCGCCCTTGCCTCACAGATGTTCCGCTTCGCCGTTCGGTTGCACATTTTGCTCTCTGCATCTGCCGGTTTTGTTTAGTCCTCCGCACGAACAGGCTGGAAGGGGGGCATCGGGGACATCGCAGCATCGCATCGCCTGGCGCTGTCCGCAGCTTAAGGCTCGAACGAGGAGGCAGTAGGGGGAAGGAGGAGGATGACGACGAGAAGGGCGAGGAGGAGGAGGAGGAGGAAACATCGCTCCTGGAGACTGTTGCCGACGTGGGCCCCATCCTTCCCCAAGGGAGGGTGGGCCCCACGTTCGGGCCAGATCTGCACGAACACGCCCGCCCCCGCCTGCGAATACACGCGCCCTCGGCCTCGTCTCTCCCCCCCCTCCTGTTGAAAGTCCGCCGCTCGGTCGTGGGCCCCTCCTCCCCCTGTTCACCTCCTGCTTGCAGCTGCCTGGCTTTTCGGCCGCCCTGGGCTCCTGGCCAGGGCGGCCCGCGGCCCCAGCCCCCCGTGTCACACGCAAGCCGCCAACACCGAGCACGCACGAGGAGGAGGAGAAGAAGGAGGAGGAGGAGGAGGAAGAGGAGGAGGAGGAGGAGGAGGAGGAGGAGGAGGAGGGGAGGGGAGGGGGATGGAGGAGGAAGGAGGAGGAGGAGGAGGAGGAGGAGGAGGGGGAGGAGGAGGAGGAGAGGAGGAGGAGGGAGGAGGAGGAGGGGAGGAGGGGAGGAGGATGAGAGGAAGGAGGAGGAGGAGGAGGAGGGGGTGCGGAGGAGGAGGAGCGGAGGAGGAGTAGGAGAGGTGGGGAGGAGGAGGAGGAGGAGGAGGAGGAGGAGGAGGTGGAGGAGGAGGAGGAGGAGGCGTAGGAGGAGGAGGAGGAGGAGGAGGAGGAGGAGGAGGAGGGAGAGAGGAGAGGAGGACGAGGACAATAGGGGAGGAGGAGAGGGACGCGGAGGAGAGAGGAGGAGTAGGAGGAGGAGGAGGAGGAGGAGGAGGGGGAGGAGGAGGTAGGAGGAGGAGGAGGAGGAGGAGAGGCGGAGGAGGAGGAGGAGAGAGGAGGAGGCGGAGGAGATGGTGAGATGAGGAGGAGGAAGAGATGAGGAGGAGGAGGAGGAGGAGGAAGAGGAGCATAATGAGTCAATACTACTAGTAATACTGTAATTAACAAGAATGTTAATCTGTTTCGCTTATAATGAGAATCGTAATAATAATGATAACAACAAGAACAACAACAACAATAGTACTAAGCATACGAAGAAGAATACGAATACTATGACTGTTAAAAACCATTAATAATAATGATAATAGTAATAATACTAATAATAATAATATCAATAACTCTCGGAGTACGTTTTTTTTCACGATTAGTATTAACTCTATTGGTAAAAGTTGCAATACTAATAATACGAATGGTAATACTAATAATACTAATACTAAAGATACTCAGAGTAATACTATTACAACTCATAACCATACTGACACACATAGGAATGCTAAGAATAAGCTTTTACTTCTCATAGTATGAACAACAATCGTACTGATGACACGAATTTTCATAGTAGAGTAAGAATAATGACAGTAAGAGTAATAATACGACACATGATAAGAATATGAAGAATCAGAAGAGGAGGAGGAGGATGATGAGGAGGAGAAGTTGGAGGTTGAGGAGGAGGAGGAGGAGGAGGAGGGAGGAGGAGGACGGGAGGAGGACAGGAGGAGGACGAGGAGGAGGGGGAGGGGGAGGAGGAGGACAAGGAGGAGGAGGAGGAGGAGGAGGAGGAGGAGGGGGAGGAGGAGGGGGAGCCCCCTCTGCGTTGCCCAGAGGCCGCGCGGCGGGGGCAGCAGCCAGTACGACCTCTCGGGGCCGCCCTGCCGCCCCGCCGGGGACGACGACCACAGCTGAGCGCGCGGGGCCGCCCGGCCAGCCTCCGCCGCTCCCCGCCCCCTCCCTTGGCATCGCTCGGGCGTGTGCATTTTTCCCTCGGTGAGGACCATCGAGGAGCATCCGTGATCATTTGGCGACAAAACCACGCACGAAACCGAACACAAACACAGGGAATGGACGTCCGAGCGATGGCAGGCCGCCACTCTCCGCCCCCTCCCCGATCCATCCCCAGACTTCAGATGCTCCAGCCTGCTTTCGCCCTGAACGCCAGGCGGAGGTTCGAGCACCAGGAAAGTACCGAAAGTGGAGGGTTTGCACGTGCGGGGTTTGGGGAGAGACGCGCGTCCGACACTGTTTCGACACTTGTTCGACACTATTCCGAGTGCTCGAAATTATTTCTGGGATGTGGCCCTTAAGCACGATGGGAGCAGCATAACCCCAGACCCTCTCGGGTCATGAAAAAACGAGACGGGAGTTATTATATTCGGCTTTATTAGAGTGCCGTTTTCATACATGCTCCGCGTGCGGATCATGTATAAAAAATGCAGGGATTTAGCATGACAAACAACGTTGAGTTCTTGCTTACATTTATTCGTAAATTAATCATGTATTACAATCCTATATGTTTGACAATCCGATGTATTAGAAACTGCCCTGTACGCCATTCTGCCGACCCTCCAGGTTGGATCGGAAGGCTCTCGGGGGCATCTGCGGGAGCCTTGCGTGGCTGTCGGAGTGCCCCATTGGGGGGGTTCTTGCGGGCCTCATGGAGGCGCTTGTTTGCCGAAGTTGTGGGGAGGCCCTGATGTGTGAAGGGTCTGGGTCGGTGGCTGTTTTTCGTTTCCGTCCCCGCCTTCCTGTGCCCTGTCTCCCTAATTGAAGCTGTGCGTAGCCCGCCCAGCTTTTGGCGGAAGAGGTTCGCTCTCGCTCCGCGGATCAAAAAACCGTTTTTCGCTTCCGTTTTCGTTCCCCGGACCTCGTGAGCCGTGGCGGGCACGCGCTGGGCCACCCTGGAATCCTCGGAGCCCCCCTCGCCCCAGGCCTCTCGACCTCCACCCTCCGCAGCCCCCCGACGTGGAGCACAGCTCGGGGGCGGCAGAGAGGGGGGTGATGACTAGGGGGGGGGGGGGATATCATGGAGGAGGCCATGATATGTCCTCAGACTTCGTGGCGCCTCTTCTTATTCCATTACGTCCCTGGCCCCCCCGCTGGGCCGCGCACATGCCGCCGGTCACGATTTGCACCCCCCCCTCTTGGACCCCCCCCCCCTTGGCCGCTCCCGAAGAGCAGCTCAGGAACGCATCGCAAGCATCATCGTCTTGAGCCACCACTCTGCAGAACTCGGGTGCCCTCTCCCTCGGCCTCCACCTCCTGGCCGCACAGCTGCCGCCGCCCGCCAAGTGCGGCCGCGGTGGCGGCCGCCGCGGCCGCGCCGCGACGGCGCCTGCTGCGCGGGGGGGTTGGCGGGCGGAGGCCGAGGCACCTCCGGCGGTGCTCGGCAGGAGCTCGCCAGACGGCTGGCCTCTCAGGGCCCCCTCTGGGCCTCGGGGGGCCCCCCGGGGGCAGTTCTGGAAGACGGCTCGCGGCGGCAAGCCTCGGGGGCGTCCAAGAGCGTGGGGGGGGACTAGGGGGGGCAGGGGGGGATGTCATGGCCGTGGCCCCCCCTCCGTCATCTTAGCATGTTGATTTCAAACTGTTGCTTGTAACGCTCAAAGTGCTGTTACTGTGCTGCTCCTTTCTCACCGCTGGCTTGTTCTTATTTCAACACGTCCTCCTCCTCCTCCTCCGCCTCCTCCTCCTCCCTCCTCCTCCTCCTCCTCCTCCTCTCTCCTCCTTCCTCCTCCCCTCTCCTCCTCCTCCTCTCCTCCTCCTCCTCCTCCTCCTCCTCCTCCCCCTCCTCCTCCTCCTCCTCCCTCCCTCCCCCCCCCGCTCGTCCGCGCACGTGCCTCCGGCCAGCATGCGCCAGTCTCCTCCTCTTCCCGGCCCTGGTCCCTTGGGCGCACCCGAAAGCCCCAGGGCGGGCCAGAGGCCCGAGGACTTTGAGCAAAGCGCCGCGTCGGAGGTCCGAGTCCCCATCCCACAGTTCAGTTGGGCGCGTGCCTCTACAGGAGAAGTATTCCAAAATGGGCAGGAAATAGGCTGGGGGCGATGCGTGTTGACTATAGGTTTGGACTGTTCTGGGCCAGGTTTGATTTTTGTGTGTGTGCCGATTGTTCTGTTGTCTCCGGAGATCCGCCTGTAGGAGGGCATGCCCGTTCTAATCCTATCTCGCCCTTCGGGGTTGGAGCTTTTTTGGCACGTGCGCAGGAGTTCGAAGAAGAAAGAGCGCCATCAACATAAACTGTTGGCGCTCCGCGCGGATTTCTTGGATCTGCGCTGGGCCCCACCCGCAGCGCCTCCAGCGCCGCCCCTGGCGCGCTCCGCGCGCCAGGGGAGGGGGGGTCCAGCGCCGATCCGAGAAATACGCGCGGAACTCCGACTTGTTATGTTCATGTCATTGCTTGTTCCCCTAATCTCACCCCTCGGGGTTGGAGTAGTTTTTGTTTTAGGCACGTGTGCAGGAACGTCTCGTTGGCTAGGGCACGCCACCTGCATCGCATACTCGTCTGGCACGGCTGATGTTCTCATGCCAGTCAGTTGGGTGAATGGCGTCTCGCGTGCAGCTTCGCCGAGTATCACATCGAGCTCCCCTGATTTTCCGCAGCAGGGGAACAAACAAAAACAGCGCTCGTTGTTGGCATCTCCCCGCCTTTCATCGGCGTCACCCCAACATACTTATACTATATGTGCGTCGCCCCTCCAGGGGCGACGCGCGCACTGGGAAATCGTTTAGTAGATGCGTCGTGGCGGACGCTTTCTGGCCACACCGCTCGGGAAACGATATACTACAAGATGGGTATGCTATACGTTCGGGTCGGACGCGCGCCTCCGAGGAGGACATGTAGTATTAGAATGTCCCTGTGCGTACCACTCCACGGTCACGAATAAGAGAAGACAACCTCGGCCACGAGAACTGACGACGGACCGTGGCCTCCTCCTCCTCCTCCTCCTCCTCCTCCTCCTCCTCCTCCGCCTCCGCCTCCTCCTCCTCTCTGGTCCGAAGGTTTGGACTGTCCAGCAGCTGCAACGACTGGGATCGCCGGGTCTTCCGCACCCGTCCACACGAAGGGAGCCATCCGTGCGCGCTGTCGCGCGAAAGTCCTCCCCTCGCGCTCGGGCGTGGGCCTCGGGGACTGCGGGCGTGGCCTGGAGAGGGATGAGGAAAAGGAGGAAACGAGGGCGGAGGAGAGGGAGGAGGAGGGAGGAGGAGGAGAGGGAGGAGGAGGAAAAGGAGGAGGAGGGGGAGGAGGAGGAGGAGGAGGAGGGGAAGGGGAGGAGGAGGAGGAGGAGGGAGGAGGAGGAGAAGAAGGAGCAAGGAGGAGGAGGGAGGAGAGGGTAGAGGGAGGAGGAGGAGGAGGAGGAGGGAGGAGGAGGAGGAGGAGGAGGAGGAGGAGGAGGAGGAGGAGGAGAGGAGGAGGGAGAGGAGGAGGGAGGAGGAGGAGGAGGAGGAGGAGGAGGAGAGGAGGAGGAGGAGGAGGAGGAGGAGGAGGGGAGGAGGAGGAGGAGGAGGAGGAGGAGGAGGAGACGAGGAGGAGGAGGAGGAGGGGAGAGGAGGAGGAGGAGGAGGAGGGAGGAGGAGGAGGAGGAGGAGGAGGAGGAGGAGGAGGAGGAGGAGGAGCAGGAGGCAGGAGGATGAGGAGGAGGAGCAGGAGCGAAGGAGGAGAGGGAGGAGAAGGAGGAGGGGGGGGCGCAGGGAGGGGGGAAGTGAGGGATGCGAGATCTGTTGCATTCAGCTGGTGTCGTCTCCGCCGCCGGGGGCATTCCCTTTGAACACTGTCGCCCCCTGCGGCAGTAGGCGCCTGGAAAAGTCAACTGCCTGAGCGGGTTCGCGGACACCCCCCTCCTCCCTCCTTCCTCCCTCCTCCTCCTCCTCCTCCAACTCCTCCCTCCTCCCTTCCTCTCTTCCTCCCTCCTCCCTTCCCTCCCTCCCTCCTCCTCCTCCTCCTCCTCCTCCTCCTCCTCCTCCCATCAAATCGGCGTCGGTTTGGGGAGGGTGCCCTGAGGTTCCCCGTGCCTGTGGGACGTACTGTGTGCAACCCGGGGAGGGTGCCCGTGGACGTTCTGTGCGTTTTGGCCGACGGAGCGTCTCATGTTAGGTCGGGCGCGCCCCCCATACAGGCGGATTTTGGACGAACAATGAAACATTCTAAAACATACCCCAAACATGGCCAAACATATTCAACACATCGTCCCCAGACTATTCCCTCTGTGGAGGGACAGGCCCGACTGACTTCTCATGTTCTTGAGGGATGTTTTTTCTGGCCCAGGTTCGACGGTACGGCGGGGACGCTCGCGGAGGAGTGTGCCCAGGAGGCGTCAGGCCCTGGAGGATTCCTCATGTGACGAGGGCGTTGATGATGTCCATGGCCAAGTCTCAATTGGGGCTCCACCGTCCTGCAGGCCCCGACTTCCACATCCAAGGGTTCCTTGTCTAATGCCCTCACTGTACTACACCGATTCGCCCGATCCGAGGGAGGTGCCGTGGAGGGTCCTGCTTATACCCGAGCCCGAACAGAAGGAACTTTCGCTCCCCGTTTCGGGTGTTGGCAGACTCGGTCTTGGCCCAAGGTGTCCCCAGCTATTTCGCACGATGTTGGCGCCCCTGGGGCCCTCTGGGCCTTCTTGTGAGCTGTGCTCGGGAGGCCGCGGGGGCCTCCTTGGAAATCCTGGGGGCACACTGGGCCAGGGACACCTTCGGCAACACCCGACCCGTGACAGAAGGGGCCGCTTTTTCCGCTGCGCCACGTTGCTGCACAGCCCCCCTCTCCGTCACAGAAGGGGGGATATGTTCGAAACCCCTTCCGCGACACGGGGCGGGCCCAACAGACGAACGGTGCCCACCCCCTTGCTCTGGCGCACGAAATACCCAGACTCTTGATTTTGGCGCTGCGCCCTGCTCGTACACCCAGAAGCCACACGGTCGCCCCAGCATCGTGAAACATTGTGTTGGATTTCGATCCGCTGGGCGGGATGGGGTAATTGCTGCGCCGCGCAGAGCGGCAGTCACAACTGGAACACACGACCCTGGCTCACAGCAAGTTCTTCAAACGCGGCGAGGGACACCGACGGACGGTGTCTCGTTCTTGTTCCCCGAGCCGTGTGCTCGCCGAAGACTTCCCCTGAAGCCGTGGCCCCAGCGCCGCGCGGATGGGTGTGCTGATCTGGTCTTAGACGTCGTGCCCCCGCCTCGGCATCGCGGGCTCCGCTCGTCAACATTACCGCCCGCACCAGGGGAGGAGGACGGCGTCTCCTCGGAGGCCTGGCGTGTGGACACAGTGGCTCTCGAAGACGCCTGCGGCGAACCACCGCCGCCACCTGCCTTTCGGGCTGCACCCGCGTGCCCAAGCGTTTGGCCAAAGCTTGGCGGCGTTGCTGGACCGTGTGTTCCCCCAGCTGCTGTGGGAGCCCCTCGGGGACACGTGAGGGAGCACGAGGAGGACGATAGGGAGGCAAAGACCTCTTCAGATCTTCGTGGGCTATTACTGGTCCTGGGAGCTTCCTAGAGGCCTCTGGGAGGCCCCTTGGGGGCGTCCTTGGGCCTCTCAGGGGGCCTTCGGGGGCTCCATGGGGGCCCCTTGGGCCGCTTCTCCTCCTCCTCCTCCCCCTCCTCCTCCTCATCCTCCTCCTCCTCCTCCTCCTCCTCCTCCTGCTCCTCCTCCTGCTCCTGCTCCTGCTCCTCCTCCTCCTCCTCCTCGTGTGGAGTTCCTGGCCCGTCGGAAGCGGTCTTGGGAGCTTGCCCGTGCCCTCCGGTTCCAAGAGACATCAGGAGCCGAGCGTTCCGATGGAATATATTACGGACGAGGGCGCAGCCGTGGAATCCATCGGCGGCGATGGCGCAGCCCGCTCGTCGGTTCTTGACTGCGACGATGGCGAATTCGTTCTTACCGGAGACAGCAACAGGAGAAGGATTGGGCGCCGCGTAATGGGGGGGTCATAAATGGGGGGGTGGCGAGGGTGGTTCGAAAAGGTACCCAAACGGTACCTAAACGAGCCCCCTGGGGCTCTGGAGGGGCCCGAAAGGGGCACGAAAGGGGACCTTCTCTGACCCCCCATCTATAACCCCCCCATTAAGCCACGCCCAAAAGGAACGATCCAGATAATGTTGAAGGATGAACGGGGTCGTCCCAGGGCAGAAGAGCGCGCGCCCTGGCACCCAGATGAGCAGGAGTGATTCGCGCGGGGGAATGTCCAGGGTGGTGATCAACGCATCCCGTAGGTATGCAGACCCTGTGCCCACGCACGGCAGAGGGCGGAAATGTCGCGTGCTCCGTGATTGCATTGCCTAGTGCTTGCGAAAAACGCTACGATGAGATGTGGATGGGTACGTGTGCTATGGAGGCCGCGCCCCTTGTGGATCTGATTCCCTGTGGTCTCAGCGAAGGGCTCCAGTCATGAAAGGAGGCTCTGGCATCCTCGGAAGGGATGGGACGTCGGTGGCCGTGAGAGGTCAGAGGACGCGCGGCAAAAGATGGACAGAGCAATCGAGATGCACGCCATGCGGCACACTACGAATGCTATCTTGCATGGAGGCCGTTCCTTGGATCCAGGTCGGGGCACCTCTGCGTGGCCCGAGCGAGGCTCGCCATGGCCAGACTTGCCCCCTCCTTCCCGGCGCACCGTCCCCCGCTGCAGCGCGCTGGCTGTCGTCAGGCAGGCCTGGGGCGAGGGCGTCCCGGCCTCTTCCCCCGACCTCATCCCTCCTCTTCCTCCTCCTCCTCCTCCTCCTCCTCCTCCTCCTCCTCCTCAATCCTCCTCAATCCTCCTCAATCCTCCTCCTCCTCCTCCTCCTCCTCCTCCTTCCCTCCTCCTCGATCCTCCCCTTCTTCCTCCTGAATTGGACATTCCAGGTGCAGCGGAGCGAACTGGAGCCGCGCCGTCGGCCGGATCTGCCACGCCTCCGCCGCCCTTGCGCCAGGGTCGGGCACGGGAGAGCCCCGCCAGTCGAGAACCTGACCCGGGTCCCGGAGCCGCCGTGGGCCATCTCAGAGCCATGTCTTGGCCTGTCTGGGGATTTTTTTTTGGGGCGGACGTGTAGGTATCTCGGACCCTCCGGCGCCATCTCGGACGCCATCTTGGACCCGCTTGGGCGAACTTGGAAGCCAGCTTGCCCTCTGGGAGACCACCTCGAGCTGTCTTGGATGATGCGGTCCTGACGCTGTTGAAAAGGAGAAGCTTCGCACTGCGCGATCCAGCGGTTCCTTCAAAGGGGAGTGAGAACAGGGACCGGCCGCACGGCGACACTGACGGCGCCTCCGCAGGGAAGCACCAGTCTTAAGTCGGGCATATGTCCCCCTACAGGAGGTATATTCAAGAATAGTCCAAAAATAGGCGGGGGACGATTTTGACGCTTTAGAGTATTGTTGATTCTTTTTGTTCATTTTTGGACTCACAATCCGCCTGTAGGGGGACACGCCCGGCCAAGCACCAGTCCCATGAAAAAGGGAGGGGTCGTGGTGGTCGCAAGGGCTGAGGCAAAGGGAGCTGGAGTGCTTCCTCGTCCAAATACCACTGGGGTACTGATGAATACACGAGTCGCTGGAATGATGGCGGTAGATGGTAGAAAACAAGTAAAGAAGTTGGCAGTGCCAGCGGGGGCGACTGGGGCTCAGGGAGCAAGCAGTGGCGAGACAGTTCATGTAAAGATGAGGCAGCCAGGTCATCATGGAAGAAGGACACTGGCAAGAAATGGGACCAGAAGGACAACGACGGTTGGACGAGGTAAGAGTGGTCGCGACGAGCCGCGGGATGAGTACTTGGCTGAGCGATCAGCGCCCGGGCGCCCTGCGACCCTGGCGAATCAATCAGGGGTCCGTCGAGCAATCGAGCACTACGCGGGCAAGGGGTGCCGTACACTGAGCCTGCGGCTGGCGCTCCTTGGCACGGCGTGCCGAAGGCTGGCAAATGGGGGCGAGGTGGCTCCAGCAGGGGGCCACATGTGAACCCTACCCCTACCCCTCAGAATCTGGGGGTAGGGGTAGGGTTCACATGTGGACCCCTATCTAGTGCCCGCCGCGGGGCGGGGTCGTCACCATCGACCCCCCGGTCTTTCTCTCGTTTTCCAATCGGCCTGCCGTCGCGGGCGATCCGCTCGAGGCCACGACCCTGCGTGGCCGAAGCCCCCTTGGGGCGCGCGGTCTGCGCTCCGCAGCAGCAGTGAGAGTGTGTGGCGCGCGCGCGCGCCGCCATGCCGCCTGTCAGCGCTGGGGGGTCGGTCACAGCATCCCGGTCACTGTTCGCAGAAAGGTTTCTTGAGCCAGGAGAAGATGATGAGGAGACATCACATGTTCGGGGGCGGAAAAGAGGGGGGTGAGGACTAGGGGGGGTGGATATCATGGCGGGGGCCATGATATCTCCCCAGATCTCAGGGCGCCCCTTCTTGTTTCATTACGTCCCAGGCCCCCCCCCGCTGGGCCGCGCACATGCCGCCGGTCATGATTTGTACCCCCCCCTCTTGGACACCCCCCTCTTGGCCGCTCCGGAGGAGAACATGATGAGGAGACATCGCATGTGGCAGATTGGAGCAGTCCAATAGCAGAACGGGTCCGCGAAGACACCCTGCCGCGTCCCCTTCGGAGGGGTGAAGCCAGCGCCTCGCTCGAGACATCCTCACAATCAGCTCTGAAATCAGAGGGTGCTGGGCACCCAAACGAGGGAATCGTCCGAGACATCCCCAAAATATGACTGCGAACGGGTCCGTGGGAACACCCTGGCGCCTCCCACTTGGGCTGCTGAAGCCAGCGCCTCGCTCGAGACATCCTCGCAGCCTGCTCTGAAAGCAGAGGATGCTGAGCACCCAAACATACAAAACGTTCGATACATCCCCACAATCCTCTGCCTGAACCCGGCTGAGGAAGAGCGAGTCTGAGTATGAGTGAGTCTGAGTGTTGGCGATCCTGGGATAGTCTGATTGTGATTGGGGTCTGATGGTGAATGAGTATGAGCAAGGCGGAGTGCGAGTAAGTCTGAGTGTGAGCGAATCTGAGCGTCATGAGCCATGAGTGAGCCCGAGTGAGACATAGCGGGGATGAGGGCGTCAGGAGTCTGACGCGTCTGAGTAAAAGCAAAGCCCACCTCATGATACTTTGGAGCCAGCCCGGGCGTGCGCGCCAGGACGACTCCACCTACGCCATGCGCTCGCTGCCCTTTCAGGTGATGGAGGCGGGCTTCGACGGCTCCATCTCCGGCCGGCGCCTGGCAGAGGTGGAGGCCCGGCTCCGCACCCGGTGGGCCGCTGCGGGGAGCAAGAGGGCGGCAAGGGCGAATCGAGCGGAATGGATAACAGGAGGAGGAGGAGGAGGAGGAGGAGGAGGAGGAGGAGGAGGAGGAGGGGGAGGGGGAGGAGGGGGAGGAGGAGGAGGAGGAGAGGAGAAGGAGGAGGAGGAGGGGGAGGTGGGGGAGGGGAGGAGGAGGAGGAGGAGGAGGAGGAGGAGGAGGAGGAGGAGGAGGAGGAGAAGGAGGAGGAGGAGGGGGCCAGTTTCACTGACGCTGGCGAGTGAGCTGCCCGCGCAAGGTCGCACGTAAGCACCCTATAGTCTCCCATGGGGCGTGCCACGCTGGCGGCCCACGCGTTGGCCGCGGCGTGCGGTCGCGATGTCAGGGTGCGTAAGGCCAGTTTTTTTACCGCGTCACTCGATTGATGCGCTTTGCTACCATGTGCGTCGGAGTGCTCACTTGGCATCGCTCGGACGTGTGCATGTTTCCTTTGGCGAGGACCATCGAGGAGCATCCTTCATCATTTGGCGAAAAAACACGCACGAAGCCGAAACAAACACAGGGAATGGACGTCCCCTGCGATGGCCAGCATTGATACTGGCGAGTGAGCTGCCCGCGCAAGGTCGCGCGTGAGCACCCTATAGTCTCCAGTGTGGGGCGTGCCACGCTGGCGGCCCACGCGTTGGCCGCGGCGTGCGGTCGCCATGCCAGGGTGCGTAAGGCTAGTTTTTATCCCTGGCATCGCTCGGACGTGTGCGTTTTTTTTCCCTCGGCGGGAACCTTCGAGGAGCATCCTTGATCATTTGGCGAAAAAACCACGCACGAAGCCGAACAAAAGCACTGGGAATGGACGTCCGAGCGATGGCCAGCATTGACACTGGCGAGTGAGGTGCCCGCGCAAGGTCGCCATGGGGCGTGCCACGCTGGCGGCCCGCGTTAGCCGCGGCGTGCGGTCGCTGTGTCAGGGTGCGTAAGGCCAGTTTTTTTTCACCGCGTCACTCAAGTGATGCGTGTTGCTACCACGTGCGTCGGAGTGCTCCTCCTCCTCCTCCTCCTCCTCCTCCTCCTCCTCCTCCTCCTCCTCCTCTTAATTTTTCCGTAGCCATTGTGGCTCAAGATGCCAGGTTCCCGAGGGGATCGAACGGATACCGCTAGTCCGCGGCAGGCAAGAGTCTCTGCGCTCTGGCAGTCGGGCGCGTCTCCTCCAGTGTCTTGCGCGCGATGGGGCGCGGCGTGGGACAAGGGCGCGGAGGAGGTCGCTCAAGCGGGCCCGTGGGATGGGTGCGCCAGGAGTGCAGCTACTACAACTTCGCCGAGCGCGTGTGTTGTCGCTACGCGTGCCAGGGTGGAGGCAAGCCGTCGCAGAGGGTCTTGGGCAGCTTCCTGCCGCAAGGGGCTCAAGGTCGTGGCAATGCTCTTGCTGGCGCTGGAGGTGGCGGGCGTGGTGGACGTGCTGGGGCTGGCGCGCCTGCGACCCGTGCCCCGTGGTGGCGAGGCGATGAGTGCGGCGAAGGAGGTCAGCGTGCTGCGGGAGTGGTGCTCAACGACGATGAGCGTCGTGAGCTCGTCAGCATGTCAGATGGGCAGTTCGCCATCGCGACCAAGTTGCGCAGTGCGAAGATCAGGAACGAGCTCCAGCAGGCCAGGCGGCTGGTGCGCGAAGGGCTGGGTGACGACCTGTCCAAGGATAAGGCCGTCAAAGCCGCCCAGCTGTTGGCTGACGAGAAGGCGCAGAAAGTCAAGCGGACTGAGCACATGCTGGAGCTGGCCAGGGCGAAGGCGAGGGCGGCCATCAACGAGACGGCGGACCTCACGGAGAAGCTGGAGCAGCTGCGGCAGGAGCTTGCCGAGGCAGCCGCCAGAGCGCGCGAGGGTCTGGCAGCTCAGAGTGCCAGGTTGGCAGAGACTGCCGTGGCAGCCGAGGTGGCGACGGCAGCGTCCGCCACCCGTGCCTCCCTGCAGGAGGTCAAGGCGACGCTCGCGGGCTGGGCCAAGTCCAGCGGGGTGGCGGCCGATGCGGGAGCTGGCGCTACTGCGCCCGCGAGGGCTGGGAAGGTGGCAAGGCCGGCTGCTGAGGCGGAGCCTCGGCCGCTGCAGCCATCCCCTGAGGTGCAGCAGGCTTGGAAGGAGCTGGAAGAGCAGTTCGTGGACCCTGACAAGAGGAAGGCGGCTGAGGCGCTCATCAACGATGCCAAGAAGATGCGCACGGGAGAGGAGGAGAAGGACGCAGAGTCCTAGCAAGGGGATGGGCGTCTGGAGGATCTGCACGGTCAATGTCAACGCGTTCAGCAGACTGGGCAAGTGCTTGATGGTGAAGGAGGTGCAGAGCTGTGACGCCATCCTGGTGCAGGAGACCAGGCTGCTGGAGGGGAGGAGCGGAGATGCCGAGGCTCAACTCCGTGGTCAAGGATGGCGGGCAAGGAGTTCGCCAGCGTGGAGGTCTGAGTCAGGTGGGCTCAGCACTGGGGGGCTCATCGCCATGGTGCGACGTTGCCACGGGATGGCGGAGGTCCAGGACCACCAGGCGGCGGTGCTGGTGGACGGCAGAGTTCACGTGCACTGGATGTCGGGCATCTGTGGCGGCGGCTTTCTGATCGCCAACCTGTACTTGGAGGCGGGGGTGGGCCTCAACCTCAGCAACATGTCGAGCCCCAAGCTGCTGGCGAGGAGGCTCAGGCAGTGCCGCAGAGAGTACGTGACCGGAGGGGATTGGAATCTTAGTGAGGAAGAGCTGCAGGCAGGCGGCGTGCTGGCTCTCTTCGACGCGTCCGTGGTCAGACCCGCGGGGCCCACCTGCATGGCGTCAGGGCGGATCATCGACTACTTTCTTGTGTCGCGCGGGCTGCTCGCGCAGGGAGCTCAGGTGGTGGCAGGTTCGCCTGTGCACCCGCGCGCGCCAGTCATCGTCGAGGTCGCCAAGCAGAAGATGGAGGGCGCCATGAGGGTGGTGCAGAGGCCGCGGGCGCTTCCTGAGGCAAGGCCGCACGGATGCTGTGCGAGGGAGCACCGCAGCAGCTGGGTGCGGGCGAGGAAGCGTGTGAGGGAGCAGCTAGCAGCAGGCCCGGCAGCAGCTGCTGGGGAGCTGAGGGCGCCAGAGGAGGGCGCCGAGGCTGAGGATCGCACGAGTGCGAAGGGAAGGTGGCGGCCCCGAGGCGCTGCCGAGGGCCTCCTCGAACAACCGCGAGAGGCAGAGGTGGCGCGCATGGAGGAGCGCGCGGTGGTGGCCCCGAGGCGCTGCCGAGGGCATCCTCGAAAAAACCACACGAGGAGGAGGTAAGCGCTGGCCGCGCAGAGGCAGAGCCCGGGCTGGTCGGAGCCGAAGGCCAGACGGCGAGGCCGCAGGTGGGCGGCGCCGAAGCTGATGGGCGACCAGCGGAAGAGGGAAGGTGGTGGCCCCGAGGCGCTGCCAATGGCATCCTCGAGGCTGAGAAAGGCGCGAGGCACTCAGCAGTGGCACGCGCGCTGGTCGTCGCGGCGGGCCAGTAGACCAGGCCGCGGGAGGGCGGCGCCGCTGCCAGCTGGAGGCCAAGCGAAGTGGGAAGGTGGTGGCCCCGAGGCGCTGCCAACGGCATCCTCGGCCCCCTCGGCCGCGTGCTGCCGCCCCCGCCCACGTTGGCCGCAGCAGCCTCTGGAAGCAGCCTGATCAAGCACTGCATCCAGCACGGTGCCGACTGGCGTGACGCGCTGCAGGGGCGCGGGAAGCAGCGCGGTCCCGAGGAGGAGGTGGCGGCGCAGCGGGGGCATGAAGGCTGCCCAGGAGCTGTTCCCCATGCTGGGACTGGCAGCATGCGTCCGAGCCAGGCACCGTTTGTAATCGCGGGTAGTCCCTTTCAGGTTGAAGCGGCTGAAGGAGCATGCGTGAGGCCCCCCAGCCTCTGGGGAAGAAAGGCCGCCCGCCTCCCGCGGAGGCGCGAGGAGGTGCTGGAGGAGAGGCTGGGCGGCGGTGCAGGCGAGTTGGAGTGCGAGGGCACTCGCGCCAAGGATGCGCTCACCGCTGCCTTCGCCACCTTCCTGGAGTGCGCAGAGG